TATATATATATATATATATATATATATATATATTAGTTTTAGGTGGACATAATATCTTGATTTTACATTTATGTGGTGCTGAGGATTGAACCCAGTGCCTCATGAATGCTAGGTAAGAGGTAAGCACTCTACCACTGAGCCACAACCCCAGCCCTAGAAGCGGTTTTTGATATAGTTGGAGAAGATATATGTGGTACCATCCTGAAGTAAAATCTTAGCTGAAGGCCGTTGTGGCGGTGCACTTCTGTAATCTCAGCAGCTTGGGAGGCTGAGACAGGAGGATCACGAGTTCAAAGCCAGCCTCGGCAATTTAGTGAGGCACTAAGCAACTCAGTGAGACCCTGTCTTGAATAAAATACAGAACAGGGCTAGGGATGTAGCTCAGTGGTCAAGTACTACCCCTGAGTTCAATCCCTGATACCAAAAAATAAAACAAAACACCAAAATCTCTTCTGAAGATTTTGGAAGGCAGGAGCCATAAGTCTTGCAGAGGAGGGAGTAGTTGGAGACTGGGAGGCTTGCTTCCCTGAAGGGATAGTTAAAATCGGTGGGAAGGCCAGTGTAGGAGAACTTCAGCAGTTGAGATTGGGAGGGGTTGTGGTGTATTAGGGGAAGGTTTGAAATTGTGTGACTGTGCTTTTTTTAGTGCTGTAGAAGGTTTGGGAGACTTAGGATGCAGTGGCTGAAAGTTGATCCTGGAAGACTGGGATCAAATTCTCATACCCAGCTGGTTGGTTGATCTCTACCACAGAAGTATTTTGTTTGGCCTGCACATCTTATGAGTTTTTTTTTGTTTGATTGACTGATTTTAATTTATAGGAAGAATTTTAGGCTCTTCCAGTTTGCCAGAGTCCTTTGCCCACTCTGTTACTGACTTTTGGCTCATTTACATGATCTCTCTGGCCTTCCTGAAAGTATTTGAATTTGTAGCCTTCCTCCTCCCCCTTTTTTTGGTTCTGAGGATTGAACTCAGGGGCACTAGACCACACTAGACCATAGAGGCACTAGACCACATCCACATCCCCAGCCCTACTTTGTATTTTATTTAGAGACAGGGTCTCACTGTTGCTTAGTGCCTTAGTTGCTGAGGTTGGCTTTGAACTTGTGATCCTCGTGCCTCAACCTCTGAAGCCTCTGGAAAGGCATGCACCGTTTGCCTGGATAGGGATTTCACATTCTTAACTCATTGTGGAGAAGTTACTTTGAGATCTTTTACATTGTCTCATCTGTACTTGATCTTTTAAAAGTATACTTAGGGGCTGGGGATGTGGCTCAAGCAGTTGCGCGCTCATCTGGCATGGGTTCAGCCCGGGTTCGATCCTCAGCACCACATACCAACAAAGATGTTGTGTCCGCCGATAACTAAAAAAAAAAAAAATATATTAAAAAATTTCTCTCTCTCTAAAAGTGTACTTAGTACTTGCAGCCCATCTCATTGCTGCTAGCCAAATGTCAAATAACCCCATGTGCCTGATGGCTACTGTTTTGGCCATTGTAGGCCCAAAACATTCTCCTTAGGCTTCCTAGGTTGTGGCTGTTGCTTTACTATAAGGAAAGGTTTTAAAAGTGACAGTGATTACTGGATTTTATTTTTGTTGGTGCTGGGGATAAAACTAGGGCCTCATGTGGGCTATGCAACTACTCTACAACTGAGCAACACCCTTAGCCTGCCACAGATTTTTAATAACCTTATAAAAATAAGCATTAGAGGAGTACCACATGAAAGCTAGTGACTTAGTCATACATATTATTTCTTGTTTATACATAGTTATTGAGTGATGTTGTGGATAAATGCTGCATTTGGCCTTATAGGGGGCACCCAGAAGCTGGATTCTACTTTGGTGGCCTTGATGATTTGTAGGACAGAGGAAGATTTAAATGCGTTTGTATGGTTGGCACTAGTGAAACATGAGTGTGTAGGTGGGGATTTGATGCTAATATTGCCTTTTTAGACTATTTTGACTTTTCTTCTAGATCACTAAGGTTACCTTCTCTTGGATTGTGGAACTGAAGCTCAGGCAACTTTCTGTTGCCGGGGTTACTCAACTTTTGTCCTTATCTCTTTCTTGTGTCCCACTTTGGGGCTGTTAGTTTTTTTTTTTTTTAATTTATTTTTTAGTATTTTTAGGTTGACAAAATATCTTTATTTTGTATTTATATGGTGTTGAGGATTGAACCCAGTGCCTCATGCATACTAGGCGAGCACGCTACCACTGAGCCACAACCCCAAACCTTGGGATGGCTGTTGGTTTTTGCAGGCTGCTGCAAAGGTAGAAGTGGGTGATTTAGCTTTGCTTGCCACCAGGCAATGGTAGTATTTTATTGGCATTTAAAATTTTTATTATTTTTGTGTAGTGGTACTGGAGATTGAATTTAGGAGTCCTCTGCCCCTGAGCTATATCTTTTTTTATTTTTTTTTTTTAAACAAGGTCTTGCTAAGTTGCCCAAGTTGGCCTCAAACTTGAGATCGCTTTACCTTAGCCTCCTGAGTCACTGAGATTACAGACATGTGCCATTGCACTTGGCTTAAATTATTTTTGAAAGTGATTTCTGTGATTGATATAGGAATGGTGTTAGGTTCTTTAGAATCTTGATTTTGGTTTGGTCTGTTCAGGACTTTGATGGTGAATTTTGAAGTTAGGGCTTTGTGTTCCTAGTAGTCTGCTCCTCGTCTCTGAATGCTCTCCCCACACCTTTTCTTTTTCTTCTTTTTCTATGGTTCTGGGTATCAAACTCAGGGCCTTGCACGTGCTAGACAGGTGCTGCTGTCCTGCTGCGTGCGACATGCGACTAAATCATTCAGGGTCACTCCAGGTGAATTTGGGTTGGCACTAAATAATCACACACAGAAAGTACCTTTTTCTTAGGGTCCAGCGACAGCTCCTCAGCCCCAGCTCCCACAAAGGAAGCAAGAGAGGCAGACAAAAAAGAGGGCGCATGCCTGAAATCATCTTATTTATTGAGGGGAAGGCACTTGAGAAAGTTCCACCCAAATGAGGCAAGGGATCAAATTTCAGGGGGTAGAGTCTAGCTTTGTGATGTCTGGTGGTCAGTAGGTTGACATCTTGGCAAGTCACACCCATCTTAGGTGCTTTGTGGAATTAAAGGCAGAGCAAGCAAAAAGGACCCATACGTGCACAACAGCCCAGACAGAGCAGCAACGTTCCGATTGTGCGTTCAGAATGCTCATAGCTCACACAGCCCATGGTTGGTCTGCAACACTGTCCTACTGAGCCACACCCCCAACTCTTTGAATGCTACTTTACTGCAGGTTATGAAGGGGAGCTTCCTTCCACTCGAGGATGGGGACTGAGCTCCTCAATTGTGTCTAACTGTGGGGATGCTAGATCAGCAGTGTGCTTCTGCTTTTGTATCTATATATTGAGAAGGTCGGACTCAATCATTTCTAGTGCCTTCTGGTACTTTCAGAATTTGCTGCTGCTCAGATTGTTCTCAATCTTGCACCTTTAATTTCCTGGTTTGGCTTTCCATGTTGCTTTGTGGCCCTAACCTTTAGATTGAGGGTTTTATGAAGGCTTTATGCTGCATGATATTCCATGCAGTTTTCATTCAGTGAGAGTTAAATTAATTCATTTATCAGCTGGTTGCCGTGGCACACGCTTGCATATCTAGCTGTTTGAGAGGATGAGGCAGGAGGATTGCAAGTTCAAAGCAATGTGGCCCTAAGCAATTCATTGAGACTCTGTCTCTAATTAAAATATAAAAACGGGCTGGGGATGTAGCTCTATGGTTAAGTACCTCTGGGTTCCCCCCATGCCCCCCCACCAAAAAAAATTCACTCATCATAGATTTGAATACACTGAAATGAAGATGTAACATGTCTAAAGTACACAAAGGATTGTGGGAGTTATTGTGTCTTTTATTGCTCTTGGCTAGGTAGAGTCCTGACCTAAATGTTGAGATTTATTTTTTAATAACCTCTGTGGGAATCAGCCCCTCAGTGAGACTGGAGGGGGATCAGGCATCCCTTGCCATTGACCTCCACATGTAGCCAGACTTGGACATGATTGACCATTTCTCTGGTAAGGACTCAGTTTGCGATTATTAGCCACCTTGCCAGCCTGGGTTGCCTCACACTTCACTTCCTTAGTTTTTTCTTCTTGATACTTTCTCAGTCCTTGAGAAGTTCTTGCAAGTTTCAAAGTATAATCTTATAGTCTGCCCTGCTTTTATGATCAAGGTTTCCTTGAACAAGTACGTAATACTTACGTGGAACTGAAAAAAAATTGATATTAAAATGAATTGGCTTTCTGTCTGTTTGACTTTGATTGAATACCATAACATCTTTGGGGTTAAAAGTTTGAGTGATATTTTATTGTTGCACTAACGCTAGATTTCTCTCCCTTTTCAATACCTTGCATAGGTCAACGTGTTGAAACTTACTGTTGAAGATTTGGAGAAGGAGAGAGATTTCTACTTTGGAAAGCTAAGGAACATTGAATTGATTTGCCAGGAGAACGAGGGGGAGAACGACCCTGTATTACAGAGGATTGTAGACATTCTCTATGCCACAGATGTATGTGTTGACACATTTTCTTTCCATTTTGCCTCCTAAGGGGAAATAAGATTAGTTGGTTTCAGCAAACTTTGTGCTAATTCCTATTGTGTTCCAGTGTAGCTTTCATAAAAAGATTTCATCTTTGATTCCTTTAAGTACAGGGCACCTCTGCCTTGAGGTCAGTGAGCCTTAGAGGAAGCAATAGGACAAGGAGGTGGCTGTTTTACCTGCCTCCTATAGATTGTAGTCACTGATAAGCCACAAAATACATCATCCAGAAGCACCCTTCACCTCCGTCCCACTCTCTGTAGCTTGGACCCCTCAGGTAGACCCCCTCAGGACCTCAGGCATGCCATTGGTCCTTTTTCACTGTCTGCGCCCCCAGTTGTCTAAAATGTGCTTTTTTTCCTTCCCTCCAAGGAGCTTGCCCTGGTACCCATTCCCTGAAAGTACTTTATGATCAAGTTTTTTTGCATCCTTGTTTATCACACAGCCAAACCTGCTGTTTTAGTTATGACACGTTAGCTCATTGGAGAAGTCTGATTTTCTGTAGATTTAGGATTTGATAACTGTCTATCTATTGATATCTAGGATATTCCAAGTAAGATAGGAAGAACGTCTTACTTGGAAAGGTTTTAAATATGTTTAATAGGTGTATTTATATTTCTGCATGCCTAGCAAGGTCTGTAGGACCACACTACTTAAGTATCTGTAGTATGTATAACATTATACAAATATAAGTTAATAATAATGCTATTATTATGACTGTCTTCTAAACTTGTCTTGTGAATTGTGAAGGATTAATCCAGATGATAAAAAAGTTGATAATTTGTTCAGTAAATCTTTAGGACTTGTTGTGTACTGGATAATGAAAATAAAGATGATGAAGGTATAGGTCCTTTGGTCTAGCTTATAATTTTAGTGGACGTGCATCTTAATTCAGCTCTAGAGATTTAGTGTAAGAAAAAGAAAAGATGGTTGAAGATACTGGGGATTGAACTCAGGATCTCAAACATGCTCAGTTGGTGTTCTAACATTGAGCTACATCCCCAGCCCTTCTTGAAAATTTTTTTTGGAGACAAGGTTTTAGCTGAGTTGCCCAGGCTGGCCTTGATTTTAAGGTCCTCCTACCTTAGGCTCCCAAGAAGCTAGGATTACAGGTGTGCACCTTCATGCCAACTGAGAAGTTAATTATCATGATACAGTAGTGTATCCATTCTCTGTTGTAAGTGTATGGGGAATGCTCTACAGTTGGTATGAAATGGAAGCCATGAGTCTGTTTTTTTTTTTTTTTTCACACTTGGTTTTCCTACGTCATTAATTTAATTGTGCTTAATTTTGACTTTTTGTAAAATACAGTTCTACTGTTCAAGAAATAAAATAAAGATGACTTGGCCTGTGTGATTGTCAAGTGTGTAGTAGAGATAGGAAGAACATCTTACTTGGAAAGGCTTTAAATATGAAGAAAGTGACCCACAGTAGAAAGTGATCATTCATTGTTGAGTAATAGCTTTCCCCTCTCATTTTCCCATTTCAGGAAGGCTTTGTGATACCTGATGAAGGGGGCCCACAGGAGGAACAAGAAGAGTATTAACAGCCTGGACCAGCAAAGCAACATCCGAATTCTTCACTCCAAATCATGTGCTTAACTGTAAAATACTCCCTTTTATTATTCTTAGAGGATTCACTGGTTTCTTTTCATAAGCAAAAAGTACCTCTTTTTAAAAGTGCACTTTGCAGAAGTTTCACTCCTTTTCCAATAAGTTTGAGTTAGGAGCTTTTACCTTGTAGCAGAGCAGTATTAACATCTAGTTCGTTCACCTGGGGATCAAAGAGGCTGACTATGGGGCTCACGATGTGGAATGCTGGTCACACTGATTGCTGGAGAAGGTGTTTTTATGTAATACACTGAGGTGGTGACTTCAGTAAAGACTGAATTGAGTTTTAACCTAATGTGAAGTCTTGGCAGAGAACGTTTTAATAAATAAATGCCTTAAGAGTATTTAAAATATGCTTCCATATTTCAAAATATAAAATGTAACATGACAAGAGATTTTATGTGTCTGACATTGTATCTGGGAAGGAAGGTCCAGACCTCAGAACATTTGGAACCTGCAGTCACAGGCCTTGTGGGGTTGCTTGAATCCCTACAGGCCTAGGCTTTGTCCCAAAAGGATAGTTTAAGCAATTGCTCTGTAAAACCATTTTGTGTCATTGACCAGTTGCATCCCTGCTAAAAGCAAACAGCTTGGTTGCCTGGATGAATAGAAGGTAATTCAGCCCTGAAATGTTTGAGGTGAAGAGTGTTTCATTGAGTGTTTCTCTGATGATTTTTCCATTTATTCCTGAAATTTCTATGTGTTGAGGAAAATGAAGTGTGTCCAGTTTTTAATCTAATAACTACTATTGGAGAATTACCCACATCCTTGGGATTTGGATGGGGGTTGTGTCCTGTTTTACTTAAGTTTACATTTAATATGTTTCTCTTCTCTGTCCCCTTGCCCCCTGGGGACTCCTCTTTGGCTCCTTAAGTTTGCTGCTTAGCATTGGAAGTACAGCAGACAGATGATCATGCTGCAAGCTCTTGCTGGATCTCTAGCAAAGGGAGTGATCAGTGAAGGCCAGCGTTATCTTGGGATCTACAAGGCTGGGGTGTTTTCTGTATCTGCTGTCCCTGGCTCTCCACTGTTACCCAAATACTTTGCCAGTGCACTAATCTCTTTGGAGATAAAATTCACTAGTATGTTACTAAATGTTAATTTCTTTTGCAGAAAATACAGTACCATGTCTGAATTAATTATTAATATTTAAAATATTTCATTCCTTAACTCTTCTTTATTTGCTTTGCCCATGGCCTATTCAATCCCTTGTTTGGCAGAATTCTGCAAAATGTATGTTACCCACTACTGAGATTGTTCAGCCCCTGATGTGTTTGTATTGGTTTGTTTATGGTGGTAGCTTGTCCTAAAATGTGTGTAGAAAACAGGTATTTTATGATAAAATTGCTGTGTAGTGCATGCTGTGTGTGGAATTCAGAGGAAAACCCAGACTCATTGATTAACAATGCCAAAAAATGCAAGTAACTAGCCATTGTTCAAATGACAGTGGTGCTATTTCTCTTTTGTGGCCTTTTAGACTTTTGTTGCCCTAAAATTCCATTTTGTCGGGAACCCATTTTCCACCTGGTCTTTCTTGACAGGGTTTTTTTCTACTTTTAAACAGTTTCTAAATAAAATTCTGTATTTCAAGAGTGTCATGTCTTCTGAAATTTGTCTTGCCCTGGGTATAAGCTTTTAGGTTCTATAGATAAGATAAGGTACCTGTACTTCTTTCTTAAATTAGGACTGGTATTTTTAAATTCCCCACCCCCCCCCCCCCCCACACACACACTAAATGTGCTAATTTCTAAGCCTACTTCCTTTTTCTTCATTCACAGTATATTTCTTAGTGTCCTAATTTCTTAAATTCCCATTATTGTGAGAGGTTTTTCCTCCCAGAAGCCCAAGCTTAGCCTAACTGCTTTGAAGCCTTCTTTAGGCCATTTCCTCCTGAGAAATTTATCAGGATAAAATTTGGTGGATGACCACAGGGATGAGATATAGATATATATTTTTTTCCCTGAAATTATGTTTTAAAGACAATTTAACACAATCTCAGTCTATAAAATAATCAAGTTGTCACCATTTTTTCCCTCCCTTAAAAAATTCTGTACCCTTATAAATGAGTTTAAAAGGCAACTTATTGCCATTTTCAGTGCTAAATAAAGTTAAATGGTTGGAAGGTAGTTACTTATGCTATCTTTACCTCCCATAATTCTGGGTGCTCTGAAAAATCCATCTTGATTAGGGTTGTACCACCTTACTTTCTGTGGAAGTTAATGATATGATACCTTCCTTGAAATGCTACACACTTTCAAAGGAATATGAAACCCTTGGTGTTCATAATCTACCAGAAGATACCGCCAGGAATGCATGGAGTTTGTGAAGATACTCTTGGGTGCTGTCAACTAAGTTACTTGGTAAGGAGTGAAGCCAGTGTTGGTTGTACCTGTGACCTAAGCCCATTGATTTGGCTCTTTAGGTTAAGGCACATGAAGTCTTGGTGTGACTAATAATAGGTTAAAATACTCGTGTGGTAAACTCAGTGAGCTGCTTGGTTGCTTGGCAAGTTCTGTGTTGCATGGAGGACAGAGCAACAAATGGGTTCTCTGCTTAGATTTGGATTCAAGATCCATTCCTTAGGCTGACGGTCTCTGTCTGATGGACTTCAGAGTCTTCTGGGGAGTTTGAAGATTGGAAATCTGCATTCTACTATGTATCTCCGTGACCTATGTTTGAGCTAGTAGTCTGGCTCGTTCTTGGGCCTTACGTAAATGTGTGCAACTTCAAGTTTTAATTCTGGCAGAGGAGACGTCAGATTTGAGTCTTTTACCCTTTTGAGTTTTAGTTGAACTCTCTTGTTCTTATCTGCAAAATAAGGATGATGATGTTGGCTGAAGTACATTCTTCAGAGGGTGCTTGTTGGGATCTGAGCTGATGGACAAGAAAAGCAGCAGCAGTATTAGAAAGTTCTGTACGGACAAGAGGTATTTATTTATGGTCTGGATACTTGAGATTCAGACTGAAATTGTAGATTAGAAAAAGTTTAGAACAGGGTTTTTGTATCTTGTAAATTCAAGAAGGGGGTTCCTTAAGATAAGCTTTGGGTATTTTCTAAAATGAGTAACAAGTTCTTTTAATGTTTCTTTTTCAGCTTGGTGGTATTGACAAGTCCAGCTCTTTTCTGTCTTCAAACTATGATTTTTCATCCTGTTTTTTCCTAAGTGGAATTGAGGTCTAAACACACATTTCACCATTTTCTTTTAAATGAAGATTTAGTGACTCAGGTTTATTGGTTTCAAAAAACAATCATATTTTCCTCAAGGATTACTTTCTAGGATGTAATATAGTTGTAAAAAGGAAGTTTTCTTTTGCTTTAACCAAGGCAATTTTCTACTAAAATTTTTCTTTAAGGATTGTTTTATAAGATGTATGAAGAGCTCATTTTCAAATGAAGCCCAGGCCTTAAACCTGATCAGCCTGGTCAGATTAGCTTGCTGTCATGTGGTTGACCCAAATCTGACTGTCACCAGCAGAGAGTAGAAGTAATTACTTTGAACCATGATGAACTTTAGCCTGTGGTCAGTGTCCATGAATCACCATTTTTCTGACCTAGCACTCTTGCTGTCAGTAATATGTTATGTTATACTTTGAATTCACTCATTTAATTAATAAAATTTTAAAATTGGATGAGTTCATGTTCACTTTCTGTATCTTCATGACATTTGCTGCTTTTTACTCAGTTTTTGAAGGTATGAAAGTACCATGTAACTTGAGTGTGCAAGCCCAAGGGCGAATTCCGTACTTGTACACTGAACTTGACTGTAGTTAGAACCATTAACCTAGATGACTTCAGCTGAATTGTTATGTAGCTTTAACTTATGAGGGTTCCTCTGCTTCCTCTTTGGCTTACTCTGATTTGCAAAGTATTGTTACTTCTTGGAGTTGGGGCTGTAGTCAAGTAGCTTCATGAATTTGGTTATCTACGTGAGCAGGTCTAGCTTTAGAGTCAAATTTCTAGGTTTCTTAATCTAGAACTTTAAATCTTTGTTTTATTTTCATAAAATTTAAATAGGTCTCATGTCTTTTGCATTGGAGGCTCCTTGGTGCTGAATGTGTAGTGGAGATGCCTTCCTGGGCACGTTTCTGAGGTTGGAAGAGGCAGTTCTTAGTGCAGTGACCAATCAAAAGCAAATCAGGCTGACCACCAAAGCCTAAAACTTTGTAAATGGCCTCAAGAGATAGATTTAGAATTGTAAAATATCTATTTTAGCAGTTTGGAAATCTATACCTTGACTGACTTTTAAAAAATTTCTCTGAACTGGTGGGGGATGTAGCTCACTGTTAGAGAGCTTGCCTAGCATGTCCAATCCTGGGTTTGATTTCCAGCACTGAAAGTGGGGGTGGGGGGGGGGTGGGAATATTCTCCCTTTACTTTTTCTGGCTTAGTTTAAATGTTTTTGTGCAGTTTGCAGGTACTGTTGATAAGATTGGTTGGCTGGGCACAGGTATGAGCAGAGGAGGAAGAGTAATTTGTCCCATCGACTACTGATGTCTTTAGATCAGCTTTCAGTTCTGGTATAAGAATGAGATGTGGGAAATTTTTGATAGGTGAGATTCAGTCCTTCAGGGTAACTCTTAAAAGCTGGCTTTATGACTCTTACTAGTTTCTGGTAGGTAGATATGCTATTTTAAAACTTAACCTTATGGATGATTCACAAATTGAAATATAGAGTATTGAAATTAAGTTTAAGGTCACACATACAAGTAGGCGGACTACATATAAATAGGGTCTATGGCTCGAGCCCCCCTTTGACCTTTACCAAAATAAATGAAGATGACAGTGTTGTGGGAAGGCCAGAAATTGAGGCCAGTGTCTTCCTTAGACTCTGCCTCCTGGATCTGCAGATGATGACTTTTCATTAGCTCATGGAGGTGAGCTTTTGTTTGGTTTATAAAGTTTAAATGTATAAAAGCCAAGAGGAGGCTGGAACAAGAAAGAGTGGGAGAATGAACACTTTCTAGCAGATATTATCTTTAGAGGCTAATTTTTGTCAGATGAAGGACATCCTCCCCCACACTCCCATACTGGGGATTGAACCTAGGGGTGCTTTATCACTGAGATATACCCCCAACCCTTTTTATTTTATTTTTATTTTAAGGCAGGGTCTTTCTAAGTTACCAAGGTTGGCCTTGAACTTGGGATACTCATGCCTCAACCTCCCGAGTAGCTGGGATTACAGATGTGTGCCACCAAACCTAGCGGACATTTTTGATTCAAAGAAAAGCACAATGTTTCTTAGCATCTGTTGCATATGTCTTACATGTGGAATTTTTGGAAAAGTTTTAATGGTGAAACCATAAGTGTATAATTTCTGTATTTTAATTAAAGTACTTAGGTTTTAACTCTGTAGGAAGAAGCTTTGACAGGAGAAATAGCAAATAGAAATAACATGCCTTTGGCCATTTCCCATAGGTTACAAGCTTCAGGGAGAGCCCTCTAGTAAGATCTGTCCCCAAATCATCATTTAGTGCAAGAATCTAAATGAGTTTTACCAAAGGCCTGTCATGATTTATCCCATCTAAACTTGAATGATTTTCAAATTTCTTTCTATTTGTGCTTGCTTCTCTATTGTTTGTTTCTCATATGGGACCCGTTTACACATTCAGAAGTAGGTCTGGTGATTTTAAGATCCAACATAACCTCAAGGCTGTCTAGCATTTTAGGATTTTCTAACCTGATAGTCTCTTTTTTTGTATTTTATGTTTTTCTACAAAGTAATGTAGAGTTAGACATATAAAATTATACATGATTGCTGTTTTTACTTTGAAGTTTTAAACCTTGCCTAGGAGAATGGAATAAGCTTATGTGCTTTTTAAAAAAAAATTTTAAAAATTTTTTAATAATTTTCTTTTTTGACAAAGGTCTTTCTGATTGCTTAGGCTGGCCTTGAGATTGTGATCGTCCTGCCTCAGCCTACAGGCATGTGCCTCCATGCCAGCTGGCAAGCCGTGTGTTTTTGCAGGTAGTTACAGGCTCACTCAATTTGCCCCTCCCCTTTTATCAGTTCTAAAACCTGATTTGAAATTTAATGTGGAATGAAATAAACATTAGGACTAAAAGTCCTAAGGATTTGTGGCTGACTTAATATTCCCAAGCTTTAAGAAGCACTTTTTTTTTTTTTTTTAATTAAAGCAACTACTGGGCCTCATTGCTTTTTTCTCAACTATTTGGGACACCCAAACCTGAAGTTTTCTTTCTTTTTTTTTTTTTCCTTTTTTTTTTTTTTTAAATTGAGACACGGCCCAAGAAGCTGTCTTTGTACTCCCTGGTTTTAGCAGTCCTCCCTCCCATCTCAGCCTCTAGAGTAGCTGGGACTACAGGCCAGCCACTGTCACCAGCTCAGAGTTCTCTTTGGTAGTGTGGTAGGAAGAGCATTGTTTTGTTTTAATTTTTTTGATACTGGGGATTGAACCCAGAGGCACTTTACCACTGAGCTACATCCCCAGCCCTTTTTATTTTTAATTTTGAGTTAGGGTGTTTAACTAAGTTGCTTGGGGCCATGTATAGTTGCTGAGGCTTGCCTTGAATTTGAAATTCTCCTGCCTCAGCCTCCCAAGTCACTGGGATTACAAGCAGGAGTCACCGTACCCAGTTAAGAGCATTGTTTTAAAGGTCACATGAGCAGAGTTGACCTCATTTTTACTGCCAGCTAAAGGTCTGATCTTGATAGTAATCTTCAGGGTCCCCTGTAGTTCTAGCAGTCAAAGACTACCTTTAAAAAAAAAAAAAGCCTTTCTGGCTGTCAGATTACATCTTAAAATTTTTGACAGATTACATAGAACTGAAGGACTCAAGTTGGGCACCTTAAAATTCGCAAAGCCTGAGAGGACAGCATGGTGGTGTTGCCAAGTGGTAGTGCAAGGTGGCGCTCGCTGGAGGGGAGTTAGCTGTGTTAATAGTGGCTTCCTTCCCTCAGTATTTGCTTAGCATTAGCAAGTGATGCCTGAATCTCAAGTAGGACTTTTAAACTTTATTCTACAATTATTTTTGTGCAGAGGTTTATCTAGGAGCTTTTTCTTCTAAATGCCCTCCCTTCTGTTTATTTTTCTGTTGAATTATTGATGATTATATTTTTGCTCTTTAGGTGGAGTTTTCTATCTTTTTTTTTTTTCCATGTTTCCTCTCAGGGAGGGGAAAGTACATTAATTGTGACAGAACCTAGCATATTTTTGCCATTAAAAATATTGGCAAAGATGGTTTATAGTGAAAAAATAGGTACCATTTGATTAGTAATTGTGTGTCCTTGGAATAATGTAGAAACTGCTGTAGAATTGATGAGAGTGAGCCAACATGTAAGAAATGAATTCACTGAGCCAAAAAACAATGGAAAAAAGTTAACCGATCAACCACCTTTTTTTTTATCCTTAAGTTCATTAACACCTAGTAAAAGGACCTCTGCACTTTTGACATTTGACCACTGTACCTTTAATGTTTTACAATATGGCAGAATCCTTTTGTTTCTCTTCTTCCCCCTCTCTCTTTTTCCAAATGTGGTACTGGGATTTAACCCAGGACTCTATTCCTCAGCTACAGCCCCAGCCCTTTTTTACTTTTATTTTCAGTCAGGATCTCATGAAGTTGTCAAGGCTGGCCTTGAGTTTGTAACCCTTCTGCTTCAGCCCCCCAAGTCACTGGGATCACAGGCTTATGCCACCAACTTTCTTTGTCTCCATTATTGATGAATGGGAGCAGAAATTATTTTGGTATGTTGGTGTTCTCTGTTTAGGTCCAGGGAGAATGTTTTGTCTGGTGATTGATTGGCATTTTGGTAACATTCAGTTTCTCATTAAGTATGGTTTTCCTGGTTTAAATGAGTGATCCTTTAAGATCTGGATCCATGTCCCTGTTTGAAATCTCTATTAAGAGATTTGACTTTCACCAACATGCCCTGCTGTTGTGCCATGGACCAAGGTTGTGCAGAAGTTACATCAGGTACAGGCTTGCTCTGAAGCCTGGATTTGTGAGTCTCCCTTCTCAAACATAATGTTCTTGTTGCCTTCCTCTTTTCATATAAGTGGAGCTCATGCAGAGGGTGTTAGAGAGCCAATGTGCCTTTTGCTGTCCCACCTGGGGGAGCCAGTTGGCCTTTAGGTTTGGGTGAATCCTGCTTTATATCATAGGGCTCCCTGGCATTTTCCATGGTTCTTATTGGGCAGTACCTGTACTTGTCCTATGGATTGTTTTGTATTTTGTCCTGGCTATTTGTACTGTCTCCTGTCACTCTTTGCTGTAAGTTCAACTTCATTAATAAAAAGAATATCTCATGTTGGATGAAAAATGGCTGTGTGGTTGTGGTTTGTGGGCTGGATTCTGATATTCCATTTATGTTCTTCATGTGGAATCCTCTTATTTCCCTGTTCTAAAAGTGACTATTTAGGTGGAAGCCCTCAAGAGTTCCACAGCAGCTTCATAGAGGAGCTATCTTGGACTAAGGGACAGCTGCCAAGATGTCTCACATTAAATGGGAGTTGAAAGCTGATAGCTTCCTGTTAGCCAGTGTAGTTAACTGGAGAAATCAAATTGGGTCAGGGTGAGTGAGCATTTGGGTTATTGTTGTTCTTCCAAAATTGGACATCTTGGTCTTAAGATTCACTTGCTTGACATGAAAGGCTGGATGGGAATGAGGAGTGCATCTCTCTTGCTGCTTTCTCTCTCTCTTTTGGTGGTACTGGGAATTTAACCAAGGGGAACTCTACTGCTGAGCTACATCCCCAGCTGTTTCTGATTTTTAATTTTGAGGTATGGTTTTGCTAAGTTGCTCAGGCTGGCACCTAACACTATCTTCTGCCCTAGTCTCCTGAGATGCTGGGATTACAGGTGTGCACCCATGTGCCCAGAGGAGAGCATCTCTTCCATTTCTGGGACAGCTGCAAATGCTGTTAGCCTCCAGTCATCTGCCCCTATTAAGTGCCAACCATAATTCTCCGTCCATGCCTGGAATGCTGCCCTAGTAGCTGTTCCAAACTCTCAACCTGATGCCAGTCAGTATTACTGACTTCTAATCTTATCTGTTTGCTAGTCATATTTTATTTTTCTGCTCTAGGAATTGAACTCAGGTACTTTACCAATTAGGTACATCCCCATCCCTTTTTTTTTTTTAATAAATGATTTTTAAAAAATACAATTATTTACTTTTATGTGGTGCTGAGGATCAAACCCAGTGCTTCATACATGTGAGGCAAGTGCTCCACCACCGAGCTACAACCCCAGCCCTCTTTTATTTTGAGAAAGGGTTTTGCTAAGATGCTAAGGCTGGTTTTGAACTTTCACTCCTGTCTCAACCTCCCAAGTAGCTGGGATTGCAGGAGTGTGCCACTCTGTCTGGCTCTAATTCTGGATATAAATTGAACTCTTCATTTCTGTTTTCTCTAGTATTGGAAGTAGTATTTCTATTTCCCTCTTTTATACTTTTTTTAAAAACTTTAATTATTTTTTGTTCATTTTTACGTGGTGCTGAGAATTGAACCTGTGCCTCACATGTGCTAGGCAAGCACTCTACCACTGAGCCACAACACCAGCCTCTGTCTTTTTTTTTTTTTTTTTGGTGGTGCTGGGGATTGAGCCCAGGGCTCATGCATGCCAGGCAAGCACTACTGGACTGTCGACACCTTTGCCCCTTGTCCTTTTCTTTTGAATGGTCTCTGTTGCCAGTGGCTTTTTTTAAAGGTTCTTTGCCTTGGTCTGTGAACATACACAAAGCTGTTCTCTCTTGGTTGAAGATATATTTCTCTTACAGTTTTGAAATAATTATATTTAAAATAGTTGTAGAATTGTGTAAAGAATCCCCCTTCACCCAGATTTGGCTTACTGAAGCGACCCACCCTCTTGTGTTTTTTGTTTTCTCCTTTCCCCTCAAGGTAACTTCCCCTTAAATGTTAGATCCCAGATTCCCAGGTGTTCGTGTTTCATGTCTATCTGGACAGCCTCTTGTCATGTACACAAGACCACTTTCATTCTCTGTTCCCCTGGAAAGGATTCACTTCCCTCAGTTATTCTGGTTCTTTACTTGGAAGCCTCTTTTCCCTGCAGCTGCTTTCTCTCCTTTGGTCTTTACATCTGAACTGTATTCAAGACACCATTAGGAAAGGATGCTCATGATGGATCCTCTGTCGTTTTCCTCCTCCTCCTCTTGCTCTCTATCCTGTGCTGAGAATTTTCATAATTTCCCTTTATTTCATTCAGTCTCCCTGGGAAGATATTTAAGATTTTGCATTTTGCTTACAATTTCTTTTTTCCACTCTCCTCTCCCACTGTTGCTCCCTCCTTCGCACCTCCTCCCAGTCCTTGTTCAAGCCAGGTATTTCAGTTGGCCAATCCCCTGTGCATGCCAGGCTTGCCTTTCCTGGTTTGCCTTTCCCTGTTTTACCCTGGCTTGCCTTTCCCTGCCACCCTAGAGTGGCCCTTCCACTCTTGCTTGGGGGGACTTGCTGATGAACTAGATTGGTTTCTAAGGATCGTAACAAAGTATGGGCCCAATAGGAATATGCCCTTTACATTCTTAGAGCAGAGCTACAGGGAATGCAGCTCTTGCCTGATCCTCATGCTGCTAAAAAGCGAGTTCCCATGGGCTGGGGTTGTGGCTCAGTGGTAGAACGCTTGCCTAGTATGTGTGAGGCACTAAGTTTGATTCTCAGCACCTCATATAAATAAATAAAATAAAGGTTCATCAAAAACTTAAAAAAAGGAAAAAAAGAGTTTCAACCTGGCTGTGGTGACACACACCTATAATCCCAGCAGCTCGGGAGGCTGAGGCAGGAGGATCATGAATTCAGTCAGCCTCAGCAAAAGGGAGGTGCTAGGCAACTCAGACCCTGTCTCTAAATAAAATACAAAAAGGGCTGGGTATGTGGCTCAGTGGTTGAATACTCCTGAGTTCAATCCCTGATTACCAAAAAACAGAGTTCCTTAAGCTCTGCCCCATCCCTGAGAAATCCTGCCTGCACGGGCATGGAAGGCAGGCTGGGAGGGTTCTGGAAGTTCAGGGCTAGTTTTGCCCCACCTCTGGTGCATGTCTTTGACCTTTAGAAGTGGACCTGCCTCTGGACCTGTTTTCCTGTGAATTATTATTATTTGTTATTATTTTTTAGAGAGAATTTAATATTTAGTTTTCGGCAGACACAATATCTTTGTTTGTATGTGGTGCTGAGGATCGAGCCCCGCACCGCGCCCATGCCAGGCGAGCACGCTACCGCTTGAGCCACATCCCCAGCCTTTGAATTATTTTTGAACTACCATATGGTTCCCTAAATTTCTTCTGTAGGAAGATTGATACCTGCCCCCCAACCTTTAGGAAGCCTCTGGCTTTAAGTCAGAAGTAAAGTAACTTGAGAAGCCCCGTAAATTCAGAAGTAGGACCACTCCATTCCATTTGGGAAAGGAAAGCTTAGTTGTCAACTTGGGGGCAGTTCTGTGCTAGAGAAGACTCTGGAAAAAGGGATGTTCTTCAAATGCTTGCTAGGAGTATCCATGGGTAATGGGCAGCCACCTGCCCCCCTTGATCGTGTCTTTTCCTCTCTCCTGCGGCCTGGCTAGGTCAGCCACACATGGTCCTTCAAAACTGGAGTTAAAGTGACTGTGATTCCTTGTCTTAGGTTAACATCACAGTCTTCTGAGAACTTCGAAGAAAGCCCTCAACCTCAAAAGGTAAGCAGACCACCAGAGTGAACGTACAGTGCGGGGGTGTTCTGGATCCACCCTGAACTCACAGTGAGCACAGGAATCCATTGCTTCTGCACTAGGTGTTGCAGACTCAGGTGTTCACAGGCCAGGTAGGTAGTGCACTGTAAACAGCACCCGAATTCACAGATCATCCATGACCCATACTTGATTTTGTCCAACTAAGTGGTGATAAGGGTGAGATGGGCTACACTGATTATTCTCAAGATAGGTAAGTATGGAGTAGTAAGTGCTTGGGGCTGGGTAATAAGATAATTAGTATAAATTAAGGAAAATTAATGTGCCCTTGCTTTCAAAATCTGTGGCTTGGGGAAGGGATGCGAGAATCCCAAGATAAAATAACTTGTAAATGGGGGAGCCAGGCAGAATTCTAACCCGAAGCTCTGAGCCACAGCCATGATGTTTTCCTGACATCTTGCTGTCTACTTGTGTAGCTAGATGCCTGCCAAGCATGGCAGGAATAGGCAGAGCACCTGGAAATGTGGAGGTGGCAGTGGTACTTTTCATCGGAAAAGCTCTTTGAAGGAGGTGCCATTTGAGCCAGCCTCTGCAGATGGGTAGAAGTTCACCCAGGGAGAGGTGGGGTAAACTCTGCATGGGGACAGAGTGCATATAAGAGGAACACTTGTCATACAGGGGTGGGAGAGCAGTTGGTGTGCCTGGAATATGGTTTGTTCTTGGAAATTAGAAAGGTAGATTAGAAGCTGGGTGCACTACTGTATGCCTATAATCCTAGCCACCTGGGAGACTGATGCAGGAGGATTGCAAGTTTGAGGCCAGCCTATCTTTAAAAAAAAAAAAAGCACTGGGGGTATATAGCTCAGTAGTAAGGCACCTCTGGGTTCAATCTCCAGTGACACCCCCTCCCCCCAAAAAAAGACCAATAATAATAATAAGGGAGAAGAGGGAAGCGCTTAAGGTGGTGTAGTGCTGAATTTCTACTAGGGGCCTGGGTAGGTGGTGAGAACACTGACTCCATCTCTTGGGCTACGTAGAGGCAGGGCTTCCTGGCAGGGCCTCCTCGCTCGCTGTGCCCACAGTGCCAGGCACGCAGTGAGCGCGTGGATCATGGGAGTGAGCATCCACAGGAGGATGAGCACGCTTGCTTTATCACTGGAGCCGAAGCCCTTGTGTCTTCCCTGAACCTCAGCTGTGGCATCTGGAGAAGGGGAACAAGGTTAATTCCTCTAAGAACCACAGTCCATATTTTTCTTTTTCTTTCATTTTTTTTCTTTCTTTCTTTCTTTCCTTCCTTCCTTCTTTCTTTGTGCTGAGGACCAAACTCAGGGCCTCACACACGCTGGATACTTCTACTACTGAGCCATATCCCTGACCTTACAGTCTAGTCTAGATTTTTTCCTGATCTTTCTAGGCCTCAAAGTGGGCACGACTTATTTGTTTCCATTAGTTGTAGTAGTCTTACACTACTTGTTCTTCCCCAAAGATTTTCTCTTTAAGTAAGAGAAATGTACTGAAAAATGCTTGTCTCAAAGATTAACTCTCTCAGACCCTCATTTTTGTAGTCATATTTGTTCCAGCCATCTAGCCCAGGTGAATTCCAGGACAAGGAGGCTCCCACACCCAAGATATCATCCATCACATGTGGCCAGATGCCTGAACATAGGACTCCGCTGTTTTCTGAGCTACACCTGGCCAAGTTAGAGAGAATGTTTGCGGAGAACATTGATTCAAATGGAGGTAAAGCATACTGCAGTTTCAGTCTTTTTGATTTCTGAATAGGACCCCGTGTCTGGGATGTGTTGAGGGCTCAGACCTGACAAACACTTTTGGGTACAGCATCTCATTTAAAACTTTTTATCATCCAGGCATGGTGGCACATGCCTGTAATCCCAGCAAATCGGGAAGCTGAGGCAGGAGGATTGCAAGTTCCAAGCCAGCTTCAGCAACTTAGCAAGGTCCTAAGCTACTTAGTGAGGGCCTGTCTCAAAATAAAAAAAAGTGCTGGGGATGTGGTTCAGTGGTTAAGCGCTCCTGGGTTCAATCCTGATACTAAAACAACAACAACAAAAAAACCTTTTAAACATTGTTTAAGCAGTGAAAGCATATTGAAGGTTACCTGGGATCTATTAAAATATATCTCTAGTCCAAACACGCAGAAGCAAACTGCTATTAGCATATTTTGTTGTATTTTTTTTCCAGTTTCATGTATGTTGTACTATCTATTGCTGTGAAACAGTAGCCCCACAATTTTAATTGCTTATTATACATTTATTATCTCTCATTTCTGGTGGGTCGTTAGCATGACCATGGTCATAGCTCTTCTGCCATAAATCAGTTGTCAGCTGGGACTGTAGTGCATCTGGGGCTTGACTGGTAAAGGATCCATTTCTAAGCTCACTCCCAGAATTTAATTCCTTGTAGCAGTAGTACTGAGGGTATCCATTTCTTGCTGGCTGTTGATGGGAGACTGCCCTCAGCTCCCAACACTGCCCACAGTTTCTGGCCATGTAGGAGTCACCAACATGGCTTCTCAAAAGGCTCAAGTCAACCAGGGAGAGAACCACTCCAGCAGAACTGTGTTGCAATCTCATAGAACAGTTATGTGGCCATATGCATATAGTCTTGCATATCCTGTCACCTGTGCCATATTCTCTTGGCTAGAAGCAGGTAACAAGTCCTACCCTACTTAGCAGGAGGGAACCACAGGAGGGCCTGAGCTAGGAAGCAGATATACTGGGGGCTTCCTCCCTAGCACAGATGGCATTTTGTTTTCATGTATCTGAATCCTTCCATACAATAGATACTCCTCGACTTAAAATAGGGTATGTTCTGGCAAACTGAAAATATCACAAGCTGAAATGCATTTAGTACCCCTAACCTACTAAACACCACAGATTAATCTAACCTAGCTTAAATGTGCTCAGCTCCTAGTTGGGCAAAATCATCCAACACAAACCCTGTTTTATAATAAGGTGTTAAAAATCTACTGAATACTATAAAAATAGTGCACTCCTGTAATCCTAGGGACTCAGTAAGCTGAGGCGGGAGGATCGAAAGTTCAAGGCCAGCCTGGGTAATTTGAGATTCTGTCTCAAAAAAGCAAAAAATAAAAAAACACTAGGGATATAACTCAGTGATGTAGCACCCCTGGGTTTAATCCCCATCATCCCTTCCCCCTGAAAAAAATAAAAATAAAAACCATTAAAAACAACAATGATTTTATGGGTGTTTATTTATTTGTGCTATTATAAAGTCAAAATATTCTTGCCTCACATACGTGAGGCACTGGGTTCAATCCTCAGCACCACATAAAAAATAAGTAAATATAATAAAGATATTTTAAAAAAGAAAAAAAATAAAGTCAAAAAATTGCAAGTCAGATACTGTGTATATGTAATTTCAGACCCTTTTTCACTTAATATCTTAAGGATTTTTCCTTATTCCTATGTAGTCTTCTAAACTATCATTAATAGATCTAAGTGTTCCCTGGTTGACTAAGCCATTCCCGTATTTTTGCATATTTAGATTTTATCAAGTGTAAATAATGTTTTGAGGATACTCTTTGCACATCAGACTTTTTCTTTCTTTAGAACTTGAATTCTCCCCCTTGGGACAATACTCCTAAAAGTCTAATAACAGAAATTCATTAAGGCATCTTTCTTTATAGCCACTAGAGACAGGGCCCCATCTACTTTCCTACTTCATTTTTTTTTCTTTCTTTAATATTTTTTTTAGTTTAGGTGGACCATTATTTTATTTATTTGTATGTGGTGCTGAGAATCGAACCCAGTGCGTCATGCAGGTTAGACAAGCACACTACCACTGAGCCACAACCCCAGCCCCTCCCATTTCTTTATCTTTTTTTTTTTTTTTTTTTTTTCCCGGGGATTGAATCCAGGGGCACTTAACCACTAAGCCACAACCCCAGCCTTTTTTTATATTTTATTTTGAGACAGGTTCTCACTAAGTTGCTTAGGGCATTGCTAAGTTGCTGAGGCTGGCTTTGACCAGTAGTCCTCCTGCCTCAGCTTCCTGAGCAACAGGAGCCATGTGCACTGTTATGTGACCATATGCATTTAGTCTTGCATATCCTGTCATCTGTACCATATTCTCTTGGCTAGAGAATATGGCACAGGTGCCTCACGTATTTGAGGCAAGACTTTTTTGACTTTATAATAGCACAAATAAATAAATACCCATAAAATCAATTACAGGCATGTGCACTGCTCCTGGCCCAATTCATTTCTTTTGAGCTTTACAACTATTCTCTGATGTGGGCAGGAAATATGACGAAGTGATGCCTCCGAGAGGCACTTCATGTCTGACCTGAAGATGAGATGGCTCCAGCTGGGGTTTTCCAGTGTTGACGTTTGCAGCCAGGAGGTGCCAGTGTTACCTAGCTAGGCCCATTTTTTCCTGCCCCATAGTATGTCAATCACTGAAACAACAAGTTTTGTAAAAGAGAAAGTATTTAAGATGCAGCCAAGTGTGGAGGTGGGAGACCCCAAGTCTCAAATCTACCTCCCCCAGGAGAAGATTTGGGGACATTGATGGGATAAAGAAACAGGGAGATTTAAGACATGGAGAAAGGTGACTGGAGGTGAAGTAGTGGCCTGAGCATGTGTAGTCAAATTGTGTGGCTTTCTGTGGGCCACATGTTCAGAAAGTGGTTGTGTCAGCACAATCTGAGGGTGGGGTTTTGGGCCTCATGTCAAAAGGTCACCCATGGGAGGAGTTGGTGGTTTCAACAAAAGTGGCCTTCAGGTTCCTGAAAAACAACCCAGGCAACCATCATTATCATAACCCACATGTCAGAGGTGCTACCTAAACAGAGCTAATGACAGACTAATTACATTTCTCAGCTGTATGACGTCCACTAAAAGCAAGAAACTGGAGTCAAGTGAAGTGCGAAGGTCTATTCAGACTTTCCCTTGGTTTTACCACCACTGAATCATGGAGGACCTAACATTTTTTACTTTAGCCATGGTTCCTGTCATGTACGGGTTACTTTTGAATACACAGTGTGTTCACACAGTTCAAATGCAGAAAGTACTTTTTCCAGGATACCTTTTAGTATGTGGAGAAAGTCTTTCTCCCCCATCCATGCTGCCCAGGTGTGTTGCTGCAGGCGGTTACTGCTTTTCCTGTGACCTTTAGAAGCAAGATGGCGAGTTCTATGCCGTAACAGCTTGTGACCCACACTGTTCTATTTACTTTTTTCCCCTGCTTTGATACTGGGGGTTGAACCCAGGAATGCTCTCCTGTTGAGCCACACCCCAACTCTTTTTATTTTTTGAGACAGAGTCTCACTAAGTTGCTTAGGACCTTGCTAAGTTGCTGAGACTGGTCTTGAATTTGAGATCTTCCTGCCTCAGCCTCCTACGAGGTTGGGATTACAAGTGTGCACCTCCATGCCTGGCTGCGCCTTGTGAGGCAAGTTCTCTGCCACCAAGCTGTATCCCCAGCCCCTCCTTGATATTTTTTAAAATTAATTTTTCACAAGTTTTCCACCTTGGTTTTTAAGTTTTTATTTTACTTAATATGTATTAGAGATATATTTTTTAATATTTATTTTTTTAGTTTTTTCGGTGGACATAACATCTTTATTTTATTTTTATGTGGTGCTGAGGATCGAACCCAGCGCCCCAGGCATGCCAGGCGAGCATGCTACTGCTTGAGCCACATCCCCAGCCCGAGATATTTTCATATCAGTCTAAAAAGAGCTTCCTTGTTTTTAAAGGCTGGCTGTGGTATTAATTGAGGGAAAGGAAAATTCTCCTTTCATTGATGTTTTAAAGTAAGGGAAAATATGATCATTTTTCTCTCTTAAAAAGCTTTCAAAGAGCTGGTGCCATGGTGCATGCTTGTAATTCCATTGACTCTGAAGGCTAAGTCAGGAGGGTTCCAAGTTCAAGGACTGCCTAGACAATTGAATGAGACTCTGTTTCCAAATAAAACCTAAAAACAGCAAGGGATGTAGTTCGGTGGTAGAGTGCCCTGCATTCAATCTCCAGTACCTAAGATTAAAAAAAGATACAAAAGATAACCAAGTGATGATGGAAACCTCAGAAATCGATTGGGCCTCTGCTGGGGAGGTAAAGGAAGGGTAGATGGGGCCAAGCAAGCGACTCCGTGCGGGGCTGAGGAGAAGGCAGCTGCCTAAGGCTTCTTTCCGTTTCCCCTCCAGTGATCCAGCTGATTGTCGTGGGGGAGGGAGCAGAGAGTGCCTTGAACTGTAGGCACCCAGTAGATATCCTCTCCTCGTGTCCCCTTAGCACCTATGGCCACCATGGCCCTCTGTGACTTGTGATTGAGTGAATAATGTTTTCTTCTCTCTTTAAGTCCTGGATCTGGGAGTTTTCATTAAGACCATGAAGAAGGTTCTGCAGAATGTGTCAGATGAGATGCTGGAGACCCTGTTTTTGAAGGTGGACTCAAATTGTAATGGCTTCATCACCTGGGTGAGGAGGGTATCCTTGCTGCTTCAGATATCTCGGGGAGGCTGGAGGATACAGTCCTAAACAGGTGGAGCAAATGGAGGTATGAAGATGGGAGGCAGTCACAGCATCAGAAAATCTCCCTTTGGATTCTGGCACTAGCTGGCGTGCTTGCCAGGTAGAGGAACCTTGGTATCTCTCTCTCTCTCTGGTACCTGGAATGCTTGACCACTGAGCCACATCCCCAGCTCTGTTTATTTTTTATTTTGAGATAGGGACTTGCTAAGTTGCTGAGGCCAGCTTTGAACTTGTGATCCTCCTGCCTTAATCTCCCTAGTTGCTGGGATTACAGGTGTGCGCCACCATGCCCAGGGAGGAAACTTGATATCTCTTAGGAGTCCTTCTCGAGACTTCTGTCAGCGGGGCTCATTGCAATTCATTCTGCAGTGGGATATGGGAGAGTGTGTGTGACAAGTATCCATGGTCCTTGTGTGAGACCTTCTTGTGGGGTATCTCTGACATGTGGCTATCCTGCACACCAGCCTCTTATGCAGTTTGGGGAATCCAAGCCAGTATTATGACCATCTCATGGCTCTTTATAGTCACTCAGAAGACGAACCTGTGGCTGTTAAATCCAAAAATATCGGGGTTTTATAGGATAGCAGTAATAGTGGTTTTGTTTTTTCTGTTTTTGAATGTTCTATAATGAGCACATATGGCATATAAACATATAGCAAAGTACAAACATAGTATGACATGTGGATGTAGTAAAGATGACATAGGGCACCGTGCAGAGCACTTAATAAAGTGTGAGACCTCACACTTTAAGGTTTACTTAAACCTCACAAGAATTCTATGAGGTAGAAGTGAGAAACTGAAGCATAGAGGTTAGGAACTTGCCCAGGGTTGCAGAGCTATCTAATAGTTGAGGCAATATTCAAACCCAGGGAACTTCTTTAAGGTCCATTTATGAACTACCATGGCATCCCTCCTACCCCCTTAGTTTAAGTATATATTGCAGGTTTTATTTTTGAAAGTTTTTTGCTTTTATTTCTCTAAACATTCTTTAGTAAATGTTTCTAGCATTCTCCACCATCTACACAATGATCCTTCTTTTTCTATTTTTTTTTTTTGTGGGGGGGGTACCAGGGATTGAACTCAGGGGCACTTGATCACTGAGCCATACCCTCAGCTCTATTTTGTATTTTTTTTAGAGACAGGGTCTCACTGAGTTGCTTAGCGCCTTGTTTTTGCTGAGTCTGGCTTTGAACTTGCAATCTTCCTGCATGAGCCTCCTGAGCTGCTGGGATTATAGGCATGGGCCACTGTGCTTGGCTGCACAACAATCCTTCTTAACACCTCTCTCTTTTTCTATTTTTTGTTGATATGAGGTCTTGGTCTTGCTGTTGTTGTCCAGGCTGGTGTTTAATCTATAGGCTCGAGCAATCTTCCCGTCTTTACCTCCTGCGTAGCTGGCGGGTACCACCACATGTGACTCCTGTTTCTTGTTTTGGCTCTGGCAATATTTTCATGAAGTTATTTGGAGCCTAGAGTTGCCCAAATGGCCCTAGTTATGGGTTCTCCCCAGTTGTTAACTTGGTACATGAATTTGGCAATTCACACATGCTTACATAAGGGGCTCCTCCTTATCTCTACAGTGGAGGGTGAATAGAGAGCTGTCCTCAGCATTGCTGAGGGAGTTCAGGAGAGGGGTTGCTTTGCTGAATTAACAGATGCTTGCAAATAGGCTTTCCCATGTTCAGGATTCAAACCCAGGTCTGTTGTTTAGCCACTTCCCTTGAGTGCTCAGGAAACAGCCCAGAAACCCTTGGAAGGGGCTGGGGAGGGATGAGGAAGACACTAGAAACCACTTGGGTTTCCGAAGGTGACTGCTGAACTGCTAATATCCACCCTCCCTTTCCTGATTTTTCTGAGGCAGGAGAAATATATGGATTACATGATGCATGAGTTCCAGGGGCTGGAGTTGATGAGGAAGAGCCAGTACTGCCTGCTGTTCCAGCTCCCTATGAGGATCATCCCCCTGTAAGGAGCCTCTTCCCTGGACCTGGGGGTTTGACTGAATAAGCGCTGGTGCCAAGTCCTGCAAGGAGCCCCCTTCCTAAGGTCATAAGCCATTCTTTGCTGGTGCCAACCAGGGATCTGACACTGGACTTGATGCTGAATGCCTTTTAGTTCTTTTCTGCCTCACAATCATGTAGGTGTTCATTAGGATGAAGACAGGTGATTTGTTCCCATTTCACATATGAGGAAACTGGGGCTCAGAGAGGCCAAATGTCTTGCAGGCCAATAGACAGAAAGTGGTAGAGTTGCACTGTTTGGCCCTCTCCACTCACCTTGGGTCTGTGTCAACTGTCTTAGGCAGGTGGCTGAGACCGGGGAGCCAACTCCTGTGGTATAAGCTGTGGTGGCCTGCACTTGTGTCCTGGTCAGGAGGGGGCTGTGGGTAGGTATTTCCTCAGGAGTACACCCAGGTCAGGCCACAGGAAGACCAAGAACTAGAAGTCATCCTTGCCCTGCAGTAGCTCAGAGTTTAATAAGGTACTTTAAATGAGAATTGTTAGGGAGACTTTGTAGGTGGAATTTGGCTGGGATTTAATTGAGGAATAGCCAATAAATATGAACATTAAAAGGTTTTATGACCATAATTTTGTCATAGACACTACTCACTGTAGTCATACCTGTGCTGGACTGCTGTTTGTCCTGAGAAAAAAGTGTCAGAAAGCTTGTGTCTTAGTTTCTCCATTTCATTTGCTTAACCTGCAAACCTAGAAAGCATTTCCAATTTTTGGGAGGAAATAGCCAAATATTATTTAGTTGTCTTTATAAGAGGGTAACTTTTTATTTTTATTTTTGGCAGGGAGCCGTACTAGGAATTGAACTCAGGGGCATTTGACCACTGAGCCACATCCCCAGCCCTATTTTGTATTTTATTTAGAGACAGGGTCTCACTGAGTTGCTTAGCCTCTCACTTTTGCAGAGGCTGGATTTGAACTCTAATCCTCTTGCCTTGACTGGAATTACAGGCTTGTGCCACTGCGCCCAGCTGAAAGGGTAATTTTTAATGGACTCACTTTGGGCTAGGGGGATGTGGCTCAGTGGTAGAGCACTTGTCTGGCATGTGGGAAGCCTTGGGTTTGATCCTCAACACTGAGTCATCTAAATGAGCCCACCCAGGCTGAGTGCGCCCAGTGCACTGTCCTGTTTGATCCCACTGCTGTCCTGGGAGGGGTGCTGCTGTCAGCCTAAAAGGAAACCATGACATTGCCCTGGGACCATCCTAACTTTTCAGAGCTCTTACTTGTGTCTATTTCTCACAGTTTTTGGTCTTGACAGAAGTGGCAGAATTGGAGATGATGATTAGAAAGGCAGCTGAGAGTTCACCATTGTTCATACAGAGCAGTGGGCTGAGGACGGAGTAGCAGGAAAACAGTGTCCAGCTACATGTTTTTCCTACTCTTCCGCTGAGATGGCAACAGCAGCCGAGTTTCATAGGGGTGTGGGTCATACTTAAGCCAGAAGTCAGATCATGTCCACAGCAAGGCTTGGAGAGGGCTCTGGGGGAGGGGGAAGATGCTTGGGTTCTAGTTTTAGCTCAGTTGGAAACCAGTGCAGAACTTCAGGTATTGGTTCTTTGTAAGATGAAGTGACATCACTGCCTTGCCAGGGTCCAAAGATTGGACACATGAGGTGTCAGAGTGCTTGATGATGCTATGTCAGGAAGTCAAAATGGTGGTCATCCTTTCTAGCCAGATGGCTTAGCCAGCTTTGGCGCAGGAAAGAAGCCACTGGAAGGTAGCACTGAAGCATGCTGGGAAGGCTGCCGGTCTCATCCGGTGAGGCAAGGTCTATCCCTGGAACTTCTCTCTGTGTTCAGTGCATGGCCAGGAGATGAAGAGTTGGCTGCCCAGGGCCCTAATTCCTCACTGTCCTCTGGTGTACCCACCTCATGCTTGGGTTCTGTTCTCCACCCCAGAGCACTGGAGCAGTGGCTAGAAAGTGTTATTTCTCAGGTTTCAGTCACATGCCCCACTCTGCTTACCCTTGGTGGGCTGCTTCTGCTAGAAAAGAAGACCTCAGCTCTCTGCCTTGTTTGTCCCATCGCGCACTGGTGAGGAAGTTGGCTGGTTATTGCTCAGGATAAACTTTTAGAGCCCATCTCATGCCATCGTCCTACATAGCTCTTATTCTTTTTTTCTTTTTCTTTTTGTGGTGCCGCGGATGGAATCCAGGGCCTTGCACTTGCTAGGCAAGCCCTGTACCGCTGGGCTACATCCCAGCCCCCACTGGGGCTCGCTCTTGTGGCCATTGTCAGTCTAATAGAAATCTGCTTGGAGGAGGGGGCAGCCCATGTCTCAGGGGGCCAGCCACTGTCCCTTGGTGCATGTGTGAATGAAGCTGCTCCTGCTTGCTTTTGTCCTTCCTCCCCTGGGTTCTGCTCTAGACTGCTTGGTGGCCCACCACCTGTCTTCCTAAATAAAATTTTATTGAAACATGGCCTTGTCTGTTCATGTACGTATTTAAGGCTGCTTATTTATGGTACAGTTGAGTAGTGATAACCCTCCTTTCTGAGCTGTTTCTGTTTGCTTCTCACCATTCAAAGGAATCATGGGTGTGAGATTGTGAAAGTGGAGTTTTTCATCCAACGATTCAAGAAGATTGGGTGTTTCCTGACTATCACCAAAGATGGGATCCTGCAGTTCTGGTCTGAGTCTTTCTCACTGATTAACTCCTTTATGGTGAGTGGGGTGGTGCATGTGGAGCACACGTAGGGTTACCGGAGAGCATCGCCTTAGCACCCTGACATTGAAGGTGACCTGGACCCAGTGTGGGCTTGTTCTTGGCATTTGTCGTCTAAGCAGCCTGGACTTGTCACAGGATGTGGGTCCATGGTCTGGCTTTCCTGTGGGAGCCTCACACTTCTTTTCTGCTAAGGAGGACTCCACCGTGACGTGATGCCCAATAGACATCTCCAACCTAGTTTGTCCAAATAGCATGTCACTCCAGCTCCCCCTGCCCACAGGGCTATTTTTTTTGAGTCATCTCAGCAAATGCCATCATCGTCCAGCAAGGCTCCTGCACTAGAGTTCAGCCTTCTTTCCTTGCCTTGTCACACTCATACTGTCTCCATGTCCCGCTGGTTTTAACCCATTACCTGGACCAGGTAGGAAATCACCTGGTTGTGAGCATGGACCCTGGAGCTCAATTGCAGGCTCAGAATCCCAAATGGACCACCTTCCGGCTCCAAACCCCGGCAGGGTATGATACAGCTCTCCAGGCCTCTGAGTCCTCATCTGTGAAAGGGGGCTTGTTGAGAGGATTTAATGACCTCGTACGTGGGTTGTGCTTGATTAGGACAAGGCACACAGCAAGTGCTCAATAAATAGAAGCCAACATTGTCGCGGTCTTTCTGCCGCCAGGTCCTGGCCCAGAGTAGTAGTGATAGGACACTCAAGAAAAGCTGCTGTGGGCTTGATATCGCCAGGCTACTCCAAAAAGCTCCAGAACAGGAGGCAAGCACTGTTCTCCAGGGCTCTGCAGGAGGGCTTGCGGAGAATGCTGCCAGCCGCCTGAAGGGCTCCCCTCCTGTGGGACTGCCCAGGGCTCGCAGCAGCAGCAGCAGCAGCAGCAGCAGCAGCAGCAGCAGCAGCAGCCATCCCTGGGGGTGCGAGGGCTGGATGGAGCTGAGGTTCCTGAGGTTCCCTGAGGCTATGGCTTCTGGCAAACTCCTGCCTTTTCTGTGTGTTAAGGGAGGGTGCATTGCTGCCAGAGCTCCTGGTGGTGTCTGCTACACAGTCACCTCAGTGCCCCTTATGGGCCAAAGCCTGGGAGGGCTGAAGAGGACAGAGGAAGGCTCCCTAGGAGGGGTCCTGGTAAGGCTTGGAGGACCTGGAGGTTCTTCCTGCTTTGGCAGGTAGATTTTGGCAAGGGTGAGCCATCTGTGAACACCTACTCTAGAGTCTGAGGTGGGGCCTGGACTCCCATCACTAGTACTGTGACCTTGGGCAGGTCACTGGAACTTCCAGGGCTCCTGGTTTCCCATCTGAATAGTGTGGATGCTGGAGGTTACCAGTTTATGGGGGTGTGTAGGTCAGACCCCACCCAAGATGGGAGAGGACCTTGGGGGTTTCCAGTCATTGTCCTCACTGTCCGAGGCATGTGGGGGAGTCTGAGAGTGTAGGGCTGTGGTCTGGGTGTTCTGTCCATTCTGATGGAACAGCCTGTTCTTTGTCCTCCCTGTGGGAATGCCTCACTAGTTCTGGGCATCCATCTAGAGGAACTTCTTTGAAACATAGCTTCTTTCTTTTTTGGGGGGGGATTGAACCCAGGGCCTTGTGCACAGGAGGCAAGCACTCTTCTAATTGAGCTATATCCCAGCTCCGGCCTTCTTTCTTTTTCAGACTCCATTCTGCTTTCTTTAGCTGAGAGCCATTGTATTAACCATGGAACAAAGGAGTCTTAAAAATAAGACTCCTTGGGCTGGGCGCAGTGGAGCACACCTGTAATCCCAGTGGCTCAGGAGGCTGAGGCAGGAGGATCAAGTGTTCTAAGCCAGCCTCAGCAACTTAGTTGAGATCGTGTCTCTAAATAAAATATTTAAGGGTGGGGAGGTGGCTCAGTGGTTAAGCACCCCTGGTTCAATTCCTGGTACCCTCCCCACCAAAAAGACTCCTGGGGTGGCTTACCTGACTCATCTCATCCTTCTCTACACCCACCTGTCAGGCTGCTTTCTCTTCCCATGGAAATAGCAGGGGACATGACTTTGCTCAAGGCTTTCCCCTTGGAGGACCAGCTCAAGTTCGTCTGAGTAGACAGCTGCTCAGAGTGAAGGCCCCGGACCCTCACTGGATGCCTTCGCTCCCTTCATTCCATCCATTACTCCCAACCTGGCAGAATACATCCTTGGTAACAAGCAAGCCCCGTGACTGGGTGGCACCTGAGATGGTAAACAAGACTCAGACATCGGGAGGGGCAGACACAGGGAAGTCAGGTTCTTTTCTCTAACCCTAATTCCTCTTCCTGGAGACATCTGCTGTGTCCAGTTTTGGGTCACTCTTCCATGGGTCACTTACATATGTGTCCCCCTTTTTCTTTTTTAATTTAATTTTTTTTAAAATATATTAGGGATTGAATACAGGGGCACTTTACCACTGAGCTACATCCCCAGACTTTATATAACACTTCTGCTAAATGTCTTAGGGTCTCACCAAGTTGCTGAGGCTGGCTTTGAAAGATCCTCCTGCCTCAGCCTAAGTTGCTTGGATTACAGGGGTGTGACACCACACCTGGCCCCTCTTCTTTGTAAATGTACAGATGGTGTCACAGTGTAATGCTGCTCTCCATCTTGCTTTCTCACTTGGTAAATATATGTGGCAACTCTTCTTTATTGGCAGGTGTACAGCCCTTCACTCTTTGTGTCTGGTGGTGGCCCATAGTAGTGTCCCATTGCTTTCATGGCACGCTGCAGCCCCTGCCTTTGCACACACTGTGGGTTTGACTTGAAAACAAATCCCTGGATCCCAAGCTCTGTACATTCAAGACTTTGGAACAACCTATTGAAACTATAGACGAGGACACTGAGACCAGAGATGTTAGGGAGCTTATTCAAAGGCCTGTCATGAGGAGTTGGTCGTAGCACCAGGCTCGGTGTCTGTGCCTGCTCCAGGGTCCTGTGTGGCAGGAGAAGGTTTACAGCCCGTGCTCATGGTGTGCTCTGCTGGGGAGTTCCCCAGCCCAAGCCTCCCCTTGTCTTCCTCTGCCAGCTTAGCCAGTTCCTGCAGCTCCACAGCCAGCAGATGTGGGTCACAGACATGGTGTGCCTGCCCAACCTGAACCTCATTGCAGTTTCATCTACCAAACTGAAGATAGGTGAGTCCTGGGCTCCCCCAGGCCTGCTTTCTGCACTTGCACTTGGGCAGCTGTGTCAGCTGAGCACCCCGTAGCATGGATGCGAGCCCTCTGGAAGCACTGGTGGGAGGAGAGGCCTGGTCATCAGGTGCCGAGTGGCTGCTGAGTGCTGGGTGCCATAGGAGGGACCAAGAGGGACCAGTCACTTGTTGACTGCCCAACTCCTCTCAGTAGGCAGGGAATGCTTAATGAATACCTGAATATTGAATTGATCCAAATTTATCGACTGGAGGCTATAACCAGTCCACCTCTAGCCCTGATTCTCCCCTCTCCAGCCACCTGCAGCCTGGGCCACCCTGGGCTCTCACTTGAGTGGCACTGAAGCCTTGCTTGCGCTCTTCCTCTCAAGGCCCACGGAGCAGCTTTCAAAATGCCTTTCTGCAGAAAGCTTTCAATTCGCTCCCCTGCTCTTAGCCTGGTGATGGGATCCTTAACTTGGCCCCAGGCCCTGGAAGTCCTGACCCCTATGGCCCCACAGTCTTCTCTACCTGTTGCTGTCCCTGGAGCCTGAGGCTACTGTGACCTTCTCTCCCCTCTTCTGATGGGTGCTGCGGCCTCCGTCCCTGTGCTCCAGCGATCCTCTGGCACCTCTCCCCACCCCCACAGCGTCTACTTTCCCTTTAGGTTTCATCTCAGATCTCACTTCCTCCAGGGGTCTTTTGTGACCATCTCCTCCAAGTCAGTTTCCTCTGTTGAAAAGGCCTGTGTGAGATTGTCCCTCTCCCAGTCAGGGTCCCTTTGAGGTGCAGTCACACGTCCTAGTGTGGTTCTGTGGTGCCTGTTTCCTCCTCCAGCCTGAAGGCTCCCTGACTTCCTGCAGTCAAGGGCTGCAGCTCTTTTACTCCCCTGTCTCCGTGGCTGGCACCTGTGAGATGTCTGGTGGCTATTAAGTGGGTGGAGGAGTGAGTGAATGAAGTGTCCAGCTGTCCCAGAGGCAGAGGTGGAGGTGGCACCAGCAGACTGGAAAGTGATCGGGGGAGGAGAGACAGTTGTGAGGCTGGAGCTCACGGGGCAGAGCTGAGGTGGAGGATGAGCCCCTGCTGCTCTGGAAGAGGCTGGGCCTGGGTTCAGACCCTGCTCCTGCAAGCTGTTGGTGTGACACTTTGGGCAAGTACTTTACCTCCCAGGGTTTCAGATTACCCAGAAGTAAGATGGAGCCTATGGTTAGTGGCTTAGTCGTTAGGTGAGAAAGTGGTCATCGGTGAGCGCAGGCAGTCTGGGGGAGGTATCTGAGACCCAGGGAGGGCCTCAGTTGCAAATACATGTTTCCTGAGGACCAGGTGCTGTCCCTGTCTTCTTTCTTGTCCTTCATTCCTGAGAGACTGGCATGAGAATCTCAGAGAGGATCGTGTCATCACAGCCCTCCTCACCGAGCAGCTGTCATCTCCTGGGGACACTCGGTCAAGGCCAGAGGCTCACCAGCATGAGCCTCAGCCTCTGTGGCCCAGAGGCCTGCCCTCCCCTGGGATCCACAGCCTCCTCGGTGGCTGGCTCCTAGAGAGGTGGAGGGGGGAGAGCTGTATCTGGGTGAAGACAGCTCCATTAGTGAGGCTGCTGCTCATTAGATGGGGGCTGAACTGGAGCCCCATCTGTTGGAAGCAGCTGGACTTTTTTGAGAAGGGTTTTGAGGTTTGAAGCAGCTGGGTGTGAGGACCCACCCCTTTGAAGGGTTTTGAACAGAATGAAAATAGTGTTTTCAAAAAATTAGTCTGGAAGGGCTGGTTCAGGTGGGTAAAAGAAGGGGCGAGATGGCAAGAAGCCGTCTCTTCTCTATCCTAGTGCACCTGTGCGGAGTCTGCTTACCTGGCCTCGGACCCGTCCGGGGTTTCAGTGGTGGGACGTGTGGGGCTGGGCCCTGGTCCTGAGGAGGGAGTGGCAGGGTGGTGAGGAAGTGGGTCTCCCTGTCCCTGCAGTGCAGGGATGGACAGAGCAAGTGACCAGCTGAGCCAAGGGGCAGAGGCACCCCGCTGCCGGCAGAGCCCAGGGCTCAGCATTTCCCTGCATTTGCTTGTCACAGCTGTTGTTGGCAGATTCCTCAGAGCCTAGGTGCTGTGCTGGGCACTGTGGGTGCCACACTGCAGAGGAGAGACAGACCCTAAGACCCAAACAAATTAGATGTTGAGATAGGTGCCATGAGGGAATCGATAAGGCCTGGGTCCAGGGAACGACCTTTCTGAGAGGACATTTGAGTAGGTCTTGAAGGAGTCCCGGGAGCGTTCCGGGTGGAGGGAACAGTGGGGAAGGCCTGGGGTGGGGTGAGCGTGTGGCTGGAGCCTGGTAGGCCAGGGCTGGGGTGGCAGGCGGGGGTCAGGACAGAGGCAGGAGTGGTGGCCAGGCAGGATGTGGATGGAGTGCAGAGGCCCACGGGCTGTCCTACAAGCCCTTGCCACTATGGTGGGCTCTGGAGATTCAATCTAGCCGCAGTGGGAAGCCCTGGCTTGGTGACTTTACTCTGATTGGCTGCCTCTGGTTGTCACAGGGATACTGAAGGGGTTTCAGTTCCATATGTGCCTTTTCCTGCTCTTCTGTCTCTTCCCCAGAGTTCTTTGATATTAGTGACCATAAATGTGTCCGGACCTTCACCTTTATTGATCTGGACTGCTGTGTCTTGGCCATGAACTACTGGTGAGTCCCACAGAAGATGGGAGAAGGGTCTGGGCAGGTGCCATATCACAGGAGGGGCTGGGGCTGGGGTCTCAGAACACCTCCCTGTAGACACTCTGGAAAGATCCTCACTCCACTGGTTTGAGGCCCTGTATCCTCTTTCCCTCAAGCTGCTTTTCCCCTGGGGTGGCCTTTATGGTCACTCTGACCTTGGAGTTGTCGTTGCTTCTCTCCCTATCCCTCTCCTGTCCAGTCAGCTGTCAAACCCTGGCAGAGGCTGGTCCCACTGTAGCTGAGGACTCTGGGAACATCATAGTCTATAGGGAGGGGTGGCTTGATAACGAGAGTTGGAAGACTAGGGATTAATTTGTTTTGGTTGAAACAAAATACCAAATTCTCATTGAGTATCAGTCTGGATCTGGGCCACTGGGCAAGGTTGGGGAAGTTGGTTGGAACTGCCCCGGATCCCGAGGTGGAGGGAGCTGTGGGAGGCAGGTGGGTGAAGGACAGGAGGATCCACAGCCTGTTCTGTCCCCATCTTTCCTTAGGTCTGACTATCACAGAGGCGTGTTCTGCTATGGGGACACCAAGGGCAATGTTATTGTCTTCATCTCTGACAGTGTGACCACCGGACTGTTCAACCCCCACATCCTCCCCAGACTCTCCAAATGGGGTAGCTCAGATGCACAGGAATGGGGCAGAGGTTGGGAGTGGGTTGAAGTGGGTCCTGAGCTGGCCCTGGCCCTGGGGTGCTCTTCCCATTCCATGCTGTGGACCTCTGGGGAGGTGGCCAAGGCACCAGTGGGTACTGGGCTGAGTGGCCTATGGGAGAGGGAGTGGTGGGGGAGCAACAGCAGAAGACCAGGGGCTGAGAAGAGGTCCATCCTTTTGCAGGCAGATCTTGTGCAGGTGAGGACCAGGGGCTGCAGGACACTCCTTACCCAGGAAGAAGGGAACATGCTGGGTATGACCTGAGGAAGTCCCTCCTGCCTTCTGAGGCCAGGGTAGTGGAACTTCCTTGGATGATTGTGAGGTGGCTTCTGCTCTCCTTGGCCTTGAGCTGCCTTTGGGTGGGTGGGGGTGTGGTGGAGGGGCCCTAGAGGTGGCCTCTGGTGGGCCCGGAGGACTCCTGGCTGGGCAGGAACGTGAGTGAGTGTGGTTGCCACTTTTGAGCAGCTGCATGCAGGGTGCCTGTGTGTCACCTCCCTCAGTCTCCACCTACTGCCCCGAGGGAGTTAATGAAGGAGCGTTGGTGGGCTGGAGCCACTCGGTGCGCAGCTGTTGAATGGTGTCTGAGGTCTGAAGCCAGGGCACCTGCCAGAGACTACACTTTTAACCATTTGCTGGGCCATGTCCTAAACTGCTTAAGGATGCCATTTGGAACTTCTCTGCCAAGGAGTTCCAGATCCCCAGCAGCCATGGGACCTGGGGCTGAGCTGGGGTTTCTGGGCCACTTCGTATCCATTTAGAAGAGCCTAGGCAGGCCACCAGGGGTCCCAGCCACAGGGACCCTGACCCCCCTCCATCCAGGACACCAGCCCTGCCCCTTGAGCAGTGTCCGACCGACTTTGGGACTTCCTAGCACACTTGTTTCCGCCCTCAAGGTAGAGCTGGTGAGCAGCAGTGAGATGCATGGCCTAACACCCCCCCTTCCCCCGCAGCCTCTTTCCTCCGCATTCCCTGGCAGTTGCCATCAGACCCAAGGCCAGAGTGTCAGGCGTTTCCAACCTACTTCCTTAAATTGCCCCTGAGGGTGGCCTGTGTGTGTCCCCTGGCCCACCCATCTGTGTCCAGCTCGCTTTCCCTGGAGGTTCATTAGCTGCTGCCCCTGGGTGTTTGGTGGCCGGGAGGTTCACAAGGGCAGGGCTGTGCTGCGGCAGTACCTGCTCATCAGAGTTGCTCGTTTTATGATGCATGGGTGCAACCTCTACTTGGAACTTGAGCTTTCTGAAAAGGGGTTTGGTGGCAAATCCCCCAAGAATGACATTTCAGGACGAGGGGAGTCTAGAATCTCCATTTGTTTCCACTGGGGAGAAAAATTGGAGCTCTGTAGTGAGGTGGCTTGTTTAGGACACAGCACTGAGGGAGAATGTGGGCCCTGGCCTCTCAGCTGTGAGCCGCCTGAGTGGTGGCACCCACTAACCTCTCAAGTCACAGTGAGGCTCCATGCGCATTCGGCTGAAAAGACCTTTGAGAAGCAAGGAGTTGACAGTCAACTCCAGACATCATCTGAGAGTCTGCATGGCTGGCAAAGAGGGAAGCTAGTGTGGACCTCAGTTTTCCCCCCATCAGATCACTGGATCAAGGTTTCCATGCCAAAACTCTTAACTGAGAAGTCTGCTGTATACAGAAGTTACCAGCTGAGGGTAAGTTGTACCTTCTTGGCCAGTGACCATGGTGAATGTCCAATACACACACCACCCAAAAGTAAATGCAGAAAGTAGATTCACCTCCCGGGTCCAGTCTTAGCTCTAGGGATCGGGCCCTAGAACCAGAGCCAAGGCAGTTGTTGGAGGCCGTGGGTTCCATCTGCATGATATGCATGGGTCCCAGCGAGGCCAGGCGTTCCCGCTGCTGCTGTTGCTGCTGCTGCTGCTGTGGCCTGGCCCTGCAGACATCCCTGTCTTCTGGAGTCCTACAGCGTGTCTAGCTGGCTTCCCCACTCCTTTCTCTATGCAGCTTTTTCTCCTTTTGGCAGTCACAGGAATTATTCATTAGAATGACTGTCGTGTTACTCCAGTAGCTTCTATCACATTTGAAACAACTTCTCAAGTCCTTACCACAAGCATCAGGACATGAGGCCCCTGACTTGCTTTAGGTCTTGTTTTCTACCTTTTTTCTCATTTACTGTGCTGCAGAGACATAGGCTCCCTTGCTCTCCCCTCCCAAAATACCCCCAAGCCCTTTCCTACCACAGGGCCTTGGCACATGACATCCCTTCCAACTGCAGTGCTGTTCCCCTAGGTTCCTGTTTACCACCCTCTACTTGTTTCCCAGGATAACCTGCTGCCTCCTCTGTCTTTTCTCCCTTCACCCTGTACTTTCCACTTCCAACTTTGTATTGTCCACCCATTATTGTTGCCCTGTGATCCTCACAAGATTGACAGCTCCTTGAGGACAGGGACTTTGTGTGTTGTGCTCTCCGGTCCATCTCTAGTGCCTCCAACAGTGGGCTCCCAGCACATCTGTTGAACAAATGAGTGAATGAGAGCCTTAAGGTAAGCCTGAGTGGGGTGGTCGAAGGCTCCCGAATGTTTCTGCGTGGGCTCTGTGACTTTCGTAGGAGGAGGCACCTACGACCTCATCTCCTTTTTATTGATTTATTTATTTATTTTTAATATTTTGTTTTTGTGTCATATCCTTTTTCATCTTCCAGTGGGAATCTCTTTTGGGGCTTGGTTTTTCCTCCAAGTTGCTTAATGTCCCAGGTCTCATTCAGTGCCTTGGATTAGTGCCTCCTTGTGACGGACACTTGGTGAGACTGGAAAACCTGGCTTGGTGCCTTGCACACAGAAGGCACTGAATGAGTGTTGGATGGTCCCATCTCTCCCACCCGCCTCCATTCTTTCCTCTCCTCCATTCTTGTTGTAGACAGGAAAGTCTCCAGCTGGGGAGGCCAAGCTCTGGTCGAGGTCACAGATCCCAAGCTGGGGAAGTCAGAGGCCAGCCAGCCCACTTGTGTTCCTTTTCTTGTTAAGGCTGCCACAGGTTGTCCTTACCTCCCAGGCTCCCATGAACTTGTCTGACAAACTTAGAGGGTGGCAGTGGGCCAGAGGGACAGGTCCACGCAGTGGGCGCTTCCTGTGGAGGATGACTCCATCCATTCTCCCCTTGGGAGAATGACACTTGCACAGGCCCAACCTCATGGGTCCTTTCACGGACAAAGCAAATGTTCAAATGAAATGCCTTTAAGCATTTTCTGAGACAAGGGATGGCTACACTTTCCTGATCACTGGACCTGGGCTAGGACTTTGGGCCACTTCAATTTGTTCAAGCCATGGTCACTTCGTTAGGCTCCATCATCTCCAGGCCCCTCCAGCCCCTCACCCTGGCCATGTTCCAGGGGCTGGGCCTGGAATGCAGCTGTCCTCTGGAGGGTCTCCCACGAGGGCGGCTCTCTTCCCCAGGCTCTCCATCCCAACTGGTGTCAGAAGGTCAAGTTCATTTCCGATCTGAACCTCGTGGTCTCCTGTTCGGCCGTTGAGAAGTCCTCTCTGGTGCTGACAGTGTTGCCAGCCAAAGACCTTGAGAAACCCAGGTAAAGAGCACCTTTCCAGGCCGAAGCAGCATGGCTGAGAGGGAGGTGGGCAGTGAGTGGGCCTCGGTGGGTGGGTTCACATCAGCCATGTGATGTCCCTGCCAGAGAGGACTCACCTCTGTGCTAGTGGCATCTCCGTGAGCAGGGCAGTGTCCTGAGGATCACACCATGCCTAGGCGCAGGCAGTGTGTGTCCTATGGGCTGACATAGGTCAGGAATTAGAGTGCACACTCTGGAGTCTGGTTTCAGTTATTGCTCCAGCCTCCACACCAGTGCTAAGAATGTGATAGGGTTCTTCTAGCCACAGCTCAGCATAGAAGCCAACAGCTCCTTCTTTCCCTCCCTTTCTCCCCTCCTTCCTTCCTGTACTGGGGATTTAACCCAGGGGCACTTAGCCACTGAGCAGCATCCCCACTACCTTTTTTTTTTTTTAATTTTAAATGGTCTCACTAAGTTGCTGAAGGCCTCACTATGTTGCTAAGGCTGGCTCAAACTTGCAATCCTCCTATCTCAGCCTCCCAAGTTGCTGGGGTTACTGGTGTATGCCACTGTGCCCATCAAGACCATTCCTGAAGGAAGGAGTGAATATGAATATGAATTGGTTCAACTCTGTGACCCTCAGTTTGCTTATCTGTAAAATGAGTTAAGGAAAGCACTTACCTTAACTTAATAAATATCTCAAGGATTCCTTGAGGGAATAATGCTGTACGTGGAAAGTGTTCAACAACTGGTAGCATTTATTGTTCAGAGATGATTCCAATCATTTTTTTTCATTCTAGATTCCTCTAACCCTGAGGAAATTTGTTTTTTTTATGGTACTGGGAATCAAACTCAGGGCCTTGAGCATGCTAAACAAGTGCTCTACCACCGAGCGAAACCCCCAGTCCCACCTTTCCTTTAAAAAAAAAAAAAAAATCTAGCCAGGCACAGTGGCTCATGTCTGTAATCCCAGGGCTCGGCTCCAGGGGATGAGACAGGAGGATAGCAAGTTCAAGGCCAATCTCAGCAATTTAGTGATATCCTGTCTCAAAATAAAAAATAAAAAGGGCTAGAGATATGGCTTAATGGTAAATTGCCCATGGGTTAAATCTCCTGAACCCAAACCAAAACTAAAAATCAGTTATTAGTTGCACAAGTGTATATTAAATGCATATCTATGTCAGAATCAAAGTGTTATAAATATGGTTGGAGTCCCGTGGGATTCCCCTTGTCCCCATGGTCGCATTGTTGGCAGAAGCCTGCCATTGTCATTTTGGCTCACACCTTCCTTCTGCTGTGTGGCACATCTCGAGGGTTCCCTCCTGTGGCGCTCCTTGGCTGGTTTCTCCTGCCCCCACAGACTTCCCCTCGAGTCCTGGGCTCTGTGATGCTGGGCTCCTGAGCAGCCTGCACGATGGTCTGTGCCCCAGGCATGTCTTTTGGGGGAATAAAAGAGATTGGAGGTCCTTGTTGGGGAGTCGCAGGGTGTGACACGGTGCTAAGGGCCATGTAGGCCCTCACTGTTACTTTCTGCTGGTTGTTTCTCAGGAAAAATCCAGTCCTGAGGTCACAGGGCTCCTTGGGTGGCCTCTTCACTTTCCAGACAGGAGCCCGAGGTTCAGGGAGGTGCTGAAGACAAGTGACTGTCTTTGCTCGTTTGAGCCAGAGCTTGATCTCAGGCTGCTGTTCAGTCCAGTACCTTTTAGTCCCCCAAACTGTGCTCACTCTTAACCAAGTCGTGGGCTCACCCCAGGTGGGAGGGGCCCTGCGAATGTCTGGTGTGTGTGTGTGTGTTGGGGGGCTCTGTCTTGGCTCCGTGCTTTGAGCAGGGCGGGGTGGTGGGGCGTTGCTTGGCCCTGGTGGCTGAATGGTCTCTGCCTCTGTTCTGCTGCTCTACCATGTCCCTGATACCTGTTTCGCTCGACTTCTTGTTTTTGGGGAGCTCTAAGGCCTGGATGATATCAGCGGGTCCCCCTACCATGGCATGTGGGCCTCCGTGGATGGCCCTGCTGCCTTCCTGAGCGCCCCTCTTCCCCTCAGCTCCAGCTCCACTGGCCCCTTGAGGTTCAGGAGCGCCCCGCCTCAGGCCTTTGCCTTGTTCTCCTCTGCCTGGCGCGCTCCTGCTTTCTTGTTGTTTTTATTATGAAAACTTTCAAACATACACAGAATAGAAACCCGTAGCACTCCTCTTTATCATCACGTAGTACTTAGTCCAGGTGTCTCAGAAGATATCTTTATGATTATTTGGAATCAGATGTAAGCAGAGTTCTCCTGTGGTTTTGAGCAGAGGAACAGTGTGGTCTGAGGCATGTGTTGGACATGCTCGGGCAGGAATGCAGGTGGGAACATAAGTGAGGAGGCTGTTGCAGTGGTTCAGGCCACGGGATGACCCTGGAGTTGGTCATGGGTAGAGATGGAGGGATTGGAGTGTATAAATTTGGCAGGGGCAGGGTTAGGCTGGAGAGTATATTTAGACATACACACTCCCAAGACACCTTCTTGTCTGAATGCAGTACAGTGCCCTGGGCAGCAGGGGGCACCATTGACCACTTTCTGGTCTCCCATTTTTGAAGACGCTGTCTTGGTGTATGGCCTCTGAAGGTTGGGTCAGGCATTGCCAACCTAAACTCTTCCTCCTTTTCCTCTGCCTCCTCCTCCCCTTCCTTCTCCTTGTAATTGAACTTAGGGGGCCCTCTACCACTGAGCTACTCTACCACTGAACTAATGTCCCTAGCCATTTTTATTTTTATTTTGAGATGGGGTCTTGCCAGGTTGCTAAGGCTGGCCTCAAAATTGTGATCCTCCTGTCTTAGCCTCCCCAGTTGCTGGGATAATAGGCATGTGCCATTGTCTGTGGCCCCAGACTCTTCTTCTAGAGTCGGCCTCGACTTCCAAGGAGTGGGCCTGCGGGTCCGACTTCCCATAGCTGATCTCTGCGCTCTTTGGGTGGTTAGGGCCAGAAGTGAAGCTGGGGTAGGAGCAGCGAGGTTGAAGGGTGGGTCGGGAGCCATTGTCTAGAGGGTGGATGGACCCACAACACCTCCCTTTCGTTGAGGCCACTGTCATCTTGCACCCAAGCTGCTTGCCTTCTTAGCAGCCCCACTGCATGCCCTCTGGCCACTGTCCCTGCCTGCGGTCATCTGCAGGTCTCAGCAGGGGTCCTCCTGGAGCCTTCAGTGGTGTAGACCTGCCTCCTCTAGCTGTCCTCTCGTGCCCTCTCCTCCTGGGCCCCTCATGCCAGCCCCGTGGCCTTGCACTTGCAAGGCCTCGTCCTCCCCCCCAGTGCTCCTGTGGCCAGTTCCTTCTCCTCCGTCTCAGCTTCTCTGTACCCTCCTCGAGAGGTTTTCAAAATTAATCTGCCTCAGTTTCCCTTTGTCAAAGCCACCTCCTTGTTTCCCTTGCAGGACTTGCCACAATTTGTCACTGTTCCTCTCCCTGTCTCTATGTCCTTGCTGCTATTTCCCCCAGAAGGGAAGCTCCATGTGGCAGGGGCATCGTAGCGATGCCTCTGGAACCTGGCAAGGAGCTGGAGCTGGCAAACGTTTGTTGAATGTGCGAGCGGATCAGCCTGGATTGTTCCTGCTAACCATTGGTGACTCTTCTTCCAGAATATTTTCTCTGCATATAAATGCATGGAGGGCCAGGTGTGGTGGCACGTGCCTGTAATCCTAGTGGCTAGGGAGGCTGAGGCAGGAGGATCATGAGTTCAAAGTTGCTGAGGCAACTCAGAGAGACCCTGTCTCTAAATAAAATATAAACATGCTGGGGATGTGGCTCAGTGGCTAAGTACCCCTGCACTCCATCCCCAGTACAAAGAAAAATGCATGGATCAAATGCATTCTGCTGTCATATATACCTATTTAGAATAAATAAATAAATAAACCCCAAATTAGAATGGAAAATGAAATAAAAAAGTAAAATTAAAAAAAAATACATGGAGGAGGGCAGTGAATATGACTCGACCATAAATGAAATACACGCACTTCCATATGTTCTTCTTGAAGCTTTGATTTTTGGAGGAATCCTGTGGCTGTTGACACGAAGGGAGGGTTTGAGGGGGAGCAAGACCAAAGGTTAAGAAACCAGCTGGGACTGACACAAAGGTGAAGGCACCTGAGCTGGGCAGAGGCATGTCACCGTGGGCAGTGGGCAGGGAGGATTTGGCCTGATGGGATGACGGAAGCCATTGTGTCATCTGAGGTGACTCCCAGGTGGGCCAGTTCAATGGAGAAGGCTAGGGCGCTTTATGACAGGGCTCTTCAAACTGGGTTTTTAAGGGAACATCCGGTAGAAGGATCTGGCAGGCAGGATGGGTGTGGGCAAGAGGAAGCCGCGTGGGCAGAGGCACAGAGCAACGTGTGAGGGCCTAACTGTCCTGGAACTCCTGTCTGGGTTCTCTGGCTCTCCAAGCCTTTTTCTTTCGTGCTGATCTCGGCCACTTCTTGCTGTACCCACTCAGCCTGGGGCTAAGTCCTCTACCCCACGCCAATTTGTTACCTGTGTGACCTTGGGAAAGTTCCTTAGCGTCTCCTTTTAGGGTCTTTGTCTCTGGCTCAGGGCCAGTGACACTCTTCATGGTTGTGTGTGGGGTCCAGGTGACCCATAAGAAGGACCAGCGTATTGGGGGGCAGCCAGGTCAGGACACTCTCTGGACCTGGGAGCCCTCACTTTTTTGATTTGTGTCCTGGCTCGGAAGATACCTGTCCCAGTTTGGTTGATGTGAAAATCATGTCAAGTTTGCCCTTGACGCGAGGCAAAACACTTTACAAATGCCAGGCGCTCCTCCTCCTTTGGAGCCAACAGTTCATGGAGGTGAGTGCTTCCTCCATGAACTGTTGGTCTGGCATTTGTTTTGCCCACAATGCTCAGCTCTGGGCAGCTTCTAGGGCGCTCTTCTCTCTGGTTGGAGAGGTGGTGCCTTTCCCAGGCCTCCCAGGAGCCCTTGCCTCAGCTCCCTCAGAGGCCCCTGAGGCTGCTGTTCCCTGCCCTGCAGCCCTTACCCCTTCCATGTTGTAGGTTCACAGTGCTGAGTTTAAGAAAAGGAGTTCTTTGCTTTGATTACTGCTCAGACAGGAACTTCCTGGGTGAGTCATCTTCCTGTCCCCCATAAGCTGTTGGTCCAGCATCCGGCCTCCCACAGGGCTTCTCTCCTGCTGCTCTTGTCAGCACTCATGGGCACCAGAAGGCGGTGTAATGAGGAAGGCTCTGGTGGGCAGGTGTGGGAGGATGGGGCAGGAGGGGCGGTGGTGGGTTGCAGGGATCCTCTCTGCATCTGGCAAGCCTGGTGGGCATCCGAGGGCTGGCGCTGGGCCTTGTACATCCAGTGCAGGCCCAGGGGCCTGGTACTCATTTCTCTACCCCAGCGACTGGTGGCTATGACTCCCACATCTACCTGTGGAACCCCTTATTCTCCAAAAAGCCTGTGTGGGTGATGAAGGGACATCAGACCTCCGTGATGCACCTCCTCATAAACAGCAAGAATAGCAGCATCCTCATCAGCATCTCCAGGGACAAGGTGCTGCTCTCAGTTCTGTTTCTTGGAGAAAGACACTGATGCTGGGGTAGTAATCTGGCTCAGCCAGCCCAGGGGACCCATGCTGGGAGGCATCTGAGGCCTAGAGGAACAGGGTAACGTCCCTCCTCAGCCAAAGGCCTACAGAGAGGTGCCTGGCATCACCATGAAGATCTTCGACAGTGCCCAGTAGAGTCCTGACCCCAGCTCACATCAGTCCACCAGAGCAGGGTTCCCATGTAGCCCAGTCTGGCTTCTTTACCTGAAAGAAAGCCAGTTTCCTCATCAATAGGCTGGCTCTTGAATGGTTTAGAGGAGAACAGGTAGTAAGAGAGCAGGCAGCATCTGGCACACAGTAGGTGCATGAGACATCTGAGTCCTGTCCCTGCTGGTCCCTGCCCCACCCACATCTGCACGCCTCAGCTGTCCCAGTGACCCCCTCCTTGGTCGCCCTGGCTGTCAGCCCTGACTTGACCTTCCTCAGTGCCTGGGGTGAGGGGCATCACTTTGCTCAGGGGCAGCTGTTAGTTCAGGATGCTGCGCCTCCTTCTTGCTGCTCCGGCATCCTGGCCAACATGCGGAGGAGGCCCACGGCTCCCAGGGTCTCCTTCAGGAAACAATTTGAGTTTTCTGGCTCAGCAGATGGAGAATTTTCAGAGCCTTGGGTCACTGGGCCACCCTTCCCAACATGTCCTCACTCAGGCTGCTAGGGGACTCTCCTAACACCTGCAAACTGGTATCCTCACCTCTGGTGAGGGATCTGAGGTGCGGGGTGGGTGATGGAGATGGGCCAGCTGACATCCTTGTGACAGCCATGGGAAGAGCTGGGGCGTGCACTGGTCTGGTTGATTCTAAGTCCATCCTTGTGTAGCTCTCTGAGGTGGCTCTGAGCAATGGGTCCTGGGGGGACTAACATGGGGCCTCTCTAAGGAACTTTCCTCAACCCAGGATGACTGCACTGGGGCTACTTTGGGGACACACAGGCCATTTGGCAATTAAGTTTGTACCTACTCTGACTGTGTCCTAGGCTGGCTTTTCATGAGTGAGGCTGAAGTGGGAGCTGGTGGGGGTCTGGGTGGGGGTGTTCTGCAGGGTAGAGGCCTAAGGGAAAGCCCTGGGATGGAGCTGTGTTCTGCTGTCACTCACCTGTGGCTGGGCTATTGGAGCATAAGTGTAGACAGTGCAGGGTTGTCACCAGCACAGACACTTAACGCAGTGCATGTGTGTTAGGGGTGCTTGGGTAACGTGTCCCTGAGGATCCCCCACCATTTGCCTGTTTCCCACCCAGAACATCCGCGTGTGGGACATGCAGGACTACATCTGCCTGCAGTCCTTCTGCGGGAAGCTGTTTGCCCTGGGGAACTGCCCCATCACCAGCGCCTGCTTCCACGAGACCGACAACACCCTCATCTGCAGCACCTATTCCGTGCACAGGATTTCATAAGTGGGCAAATTCCAGTAAGTTTAAGATCCTGAGCGAAGATTTGTAGATTGCCCAGAAACTTGCGAGTGACAGGCCTGGGGAAGAACTGGCCTGGGAAGGACCAGGTGGGAGGAACTTTAGCTTTTAGATTAAAGCTATAATCTCCTTGTCCTTCCTCTTGTTTATAATCCCAGCAACTCTGGAGACTGAGGCAGGAGGATTGAAAGTTAGAGGCTATCCTGGGCAATTTATCAAGATCCTGTTGGAAGGTTAAAAAAAAAAAAAAAAAAGCAAGGCTGGGGTTGTAACTCAGGGGTAGAGCGCCCCTGGTTCAATCTACCCCTCCCACCCAAAAAAAAAAAAAGGGTTGGGTGGGAGGCTGGGGTTGTGGCTCAGCAGTAGAGCGCTTGCCTAGCACATTCGAGGCCCTGGGTTCGATCCTCAGCACCACATAAAAATAAATAAAGGTATTGGGTCAACTACAACTAAAAAATAAATATTAAAAACAAAAAGGGTTTCGGGCTTTATTTTGAACAGCATCTGGCAGCCGTCCCAGGGTGCAGAGCCCTTAGAGGCACATCTGGGTTTCCATGGGCTTAAAGCTCACACAGCCGACTTCTCCTTAGGAGGCGAGTCCTCAGAGACAGACACGAATCAGGCTGTGGGCCGGGGAGACTGGCTCACCAGGGCGCTGTCTTAAGCTCTACTAGTTTCTTGGTAAGGCCACCCTCTCAGCCCTTGTTGTTTTTCACTTGTGCAACAAACATCCATTAAGCACCTTCCAATCTAGAAAATTCTTCCCCATGGTGGATCTGAAAAGGTGTCCTGCTGGCACCCAGAGCCTGTCGCTCTCTGGCCTCAAAGGTGGAAATGTATTGTCTCCTTGTGGTGGAGGTTGGCGGCCTGTTATCCTGAGGGGAGGGTTCTTCCTCGCCTCTTCTGAACTTTCTAGAACCATGTCATTATGAGGCACTGGGGAATTTTCTTCATCTTGGAGGATTTTTCTGCTGTTGACCAGCAACCCTCCACCTATAGAGACATCACCCAAAACACCCATGTCCTGTGGCCATGTTCTCCATGTGTAACTGTGGAAAACAAGCTATGCTCTGTTCTGTTACCCCACGATGCTGAGAGCAGCAGTTGTTGGGGGACACCTAAGCCTGAGTGACCCTTCTGTGAGACCGTGGCTTGCCGTAAGCTACTAACTCCATTTTAAGTTCCGAGATGAAATGTCTCTACAAGTAAACAGCCACCATCTGTCTAGCACAGCCATAAGGCACAAACTAATAAGTTAGTCATGCTAATAAAAGTGACACCTGTGGATTTACCGAATTAATCAGAAGCACACGGACACACAGGCGTGCCAAACTCATATCGGAAAAATCAGGCCCACGAGCTCATCAGACTCACCAGGCCATGTCATGGGGGCAACTCCCCCAATCAGGCCATAAAAGGAGTCTGGGGCTGGGGTTGTGGCTCAGTGGCAGAGCGCTCGCCTCACACATGTAAGGCCCTGGGTTTGAGCCTCAGCCCACAAAAAATAAACAAACAAAGATATTGTGTCCATGTATAACTAAAAAGTATAAAAAAGAATGTATCCCCAGGCTTCAGGGGAGCTGGGTTTCTCCTGCTGGTCATAACCATGAGGCCTACTCCAAGCTGACACTCTGAACCACACGCACTCCTTCTGGACTGTGGCCTAGAGTAAGTTCCTGTGTTGTGGGCCCGAGTGTATGTGCCTTGACCAGACAGACTCCATTTACCCCAGACTCCATTTCATATAAGAAATTTCTCCCTTGTGAAAACTCCACCTCTGTAGCCCACCTCCGGCTACCCACGTCCTGTTTGGCCAAGGCCAAGCTGCTGAAAAACGTTTCTTTTATTCTTATACAATGTATTATTAAGAAATGCTTTTGTAAGATGTTCTCTTTTCAGTTCCCATTTTTCTTGGGCAATGTACCCTGACTGCACCCTGAACTGGATCATTCTGACCCACTTCCACGTTGCTATGGTTTTGATTTACTGGTAGCTTGTGGGTTTTGGCTATAAAAGATGCACTCTAACTTCTGCAAAGGGTCCAAGGGTGCAGAGTTGACTTGGTCGCTGCCCCTTGGCCTGCGGTGAATAAAGTTCCACGCCTGCTTCTAGACTGACCTGTGATTTGGTCACACGCGCCACACACCTGCACTCCCACAGCGCTGCTCCTGGGGACTGGTTCTGCTGCTGGTTCTCATCTTCTCTGACCACTGACCACTGCCGTGACTGCGTCAGGGACCTGTGCGCTCTCAAGTTGGCCCCACCGCAGCGAGGCGCCCTATCTTCCTGGCCTGGTGCTTCCTGACCTGGGGCTCTGCAGGGGTGGGTGAGGGGTGAAGGGTCTCCAGGTTCTGGAGGGGAGAGAGGCTGTGCCGAGCCGGGAGGGGGTTCTTAGGCAGGGACATTGTTGGGGAGGAAAGCCCAGCTATTATCTTCAGCGAGCACATTATGTGGGACTTGTGGCTCCCCGTTTTTCAGGTGAAGGAACCCAGGGGAGTTATAGGTTTTGTCTGGCTCTCTAGGGCGTTGGAGGTATCAGGTTGGGGGATCCCAGGCAGGACTCTGGAATTGGTAACGTCTCAAGTTGAATTGATGCTCAGAGCGTGCACTCTGGAGTTGGCTTCTCTGCTCACACCCCATGTGACCCTGGGCGGGGGCTTAAATCTCTTAGACCCTCAGTTTCCTCATCCATAGAATGGGGAGAAGTAGCTGTGGTTGAATTCCTTCATGGGGCCTCTGGCTTCTCCCAGGGACTTTGCCTGCACTTGACCCCTGTGGTGTGCCTCATGTTGACCCTGGGGCTCCCCTTGGCTTGCTGGAGGGGGCCAGCAGCTTGTGTAGATGTGCAGACCAGGGGCAGTGCTCTAGGCCTCTGGGACTTGGTGGTAAGGTTGGAACAGTGGCACTCAGGGCTGACAAGCAGTGGCATTGCTAGGACCTGCTCCTCAGAGCCACTTTTGTGGATTACAGAGCAAACTCACAGTCCCTGAGGCCTTGGGGAGGTGAGTGGGGCAGCCCCTGGCCTGTCAGTCTCTAGACACACCTGTGACCGGCCTTCCCGCCGTCACATGCCCCCCACCCCTCTTGAGCACTGGGCCTTCCACATTGCAGGGCACAGACTTGTCAAGGAAAGAGAGTCATGTCCTGATGTCACTCGGGGCTGGAGCAGCTCTGGGTCACTCTGGCTTGAAAGCCTGGCCAGTCTGGGTTGCTGTGTGATGGGCAAGTGACTGTCCTCTAGGTCTCGTGGCCTTGGGAGCCCGTTGGAGAGAGGAGACCAGGCAGGGCTGGGCTCACACACCCCGTCGTCCTGGGAGTGCTCTCTGATCATTCTTGTTACTGGGGACTGCTGTCTCTCTGTCCTGTTCCCCGGAGACCTGGGGGACAGGCTTCAAGCTTTGCAGGGCCTGACCCCTCCTTGCTCCTAGAGTGTCTGTTCCTGTTGGTGGGAACCGAGCTCAGAGAGGTTGAGGTTTGCCCTTGGTCACAGAGTTGCGCCTGAGCAGAGCTGGGTGTTGGACGGTGCCTCAGGCTGCTCAGTGCCAGCGCCTCTAGGGGGCACCCCGACAGGGTCTGTGGCCTCAGAGGTGGCCTCTCAGCAGCGCCTCCCTTACCTGATCCTCGCCTTCCATGGAAAACGTTTCCGTGGGTATGCGAGGCCCTGGCTGGGATCCGGTGCATTCTCTCTGGGGGGAAGGAGACGCCCCTGCTGTGCCCTCTGCCACCACAGGCCTGTGGATTCCCAAGCCCCCGAGACACCTCCTGGCCACCAGCATTGACGAGCTCAGGCCTGGCTCTCAGCCGCTCTGCGCCCTGCCACCCACCCTGGCCAGTAGCTCCACCTGTGCTGGGATTCCCACACGGTGCCCGGCGGGCCACCCGGGTGCCATGTGGAGGTGGAGACCTTAACTGCAGTCCTTCCTGCAGGAGCCCAGGCCCTGTGTGGGAAAGAGACGGGCTGCATCTCATCTGATTTTTATTGTCCATCTCCCTTGCAAAGCTTGGGGTCTCCGAGCCCAGGGGCGGTCCCTGGTGGAGGCCATCAGGAACTCCCCCTGTCTGGCATGGCCCTCGGGGGCAGCGCCCACTGTGGCCACATAGCTGGCTGGTGTCATTGGCAGTGGGAAGGTGGGCGGGGTGAGGAGGTCCCTGGGGAGCTCTACTCTCCCCAGCCTGGGTGGACGGGTCACCCTGCCTTCCCTTCCGACTTCAGACCCCCCTGAGGAGCTCAAAGGCCTGCGGGGGATAGAACCTCACCCCTGCTGGAGACCGGAGCCTGCCTCGCCCTGCTTCCCTGGTCACACTGGCCCTGGAGCCCCCGGCGGCTGCCAGGGCTGGGCAGTGAAGGCAGCAGGAGGTCCTTGTGCCTGTAGGGGGCAGCAGCACCCAGGTGTCCTCAGACCAGGACGGCTATGGGAGCTGGGGCGCGGAGTCTAGGCCACCTGAGCTCCCCACAAGCCCTGGGATCCCACAGTCAAGGAGAGGGGTGGTGGGGGTCCCTGGGTCTAGATTCCCTGGTGGCGTCCATAACAGTGACCAGCAGCCTCAGCCACCTCCCCCCACCCAGGGTTGGCATCCAGAGGCCTGGAAAACCATGGCTGGGGTTCCCACCGACCCAGGGGCTCAGGGGCTCAGGCTGAGACCTGGAGAGATGAGCGCGCGGTGCTTCCCCACCTGGGCACGAAGCTGGTCACACTGAAGGCCATGGCTGAAGGCCTTTCGTGCTGGGGGGTCTTGGGCTTCGGTCCACATTGGGCAGAGAGAGGTGACAGCTGGCACCTCCTGATGCCGCTGGGGAAACTGAGGCACCGAGGGTGACCCCTCAAGGTGACACCGTGAAGCAGCACAGGCAAGGACATGCGGGGCCATCACTGGGCCATCACCTGCCCTTGGCCCAGGGGTTTCTGGGTCTTGCAGAAGCAGAGCCCTGTCCACCTGCTCCCGCTGAGCTGACCTGGCTCCAGAGATTAACGGGATTAGCCACATCCTGGGCTGGAGCTGGGTTTATCAGAGGCGCCACTCCGGGGCCTTGCCGGTGACTTGGCGCTCTGCACCTCCGGTTCTGTCTGGGCCGCCAGGGCGAGCTGGCACCCCCCTGGCCGGCTGCCCACTCCTGCTGTGGGCCGGGTCGGGGGTGTCCTGGGTGGCAGACAAGTGGCCAGCCTGTTCCCTGTGGACCTGGGATGGAGTGGCAGAGGGGGGCCCAGGTCCATGTCTGTCTGCGTTGGAAACAAAGCCCCCCTTGGCTGGACCAGGCCCTGGCTCCCTGCAGGGTTGGGCAGGGCTCTCTGTGGGACTCGCGTAGGGCTGTCCCTCAGCCTTGCCACCTTGCCTGTGCAGAGGGGCTTTTCAAGGGCACTGCGAACTGTGTTGCTCCCCCGGGGACCGTGGCCCTGGGGGATGGGAGGGCCTGAGGGGGGCAGGCAGAGGGGAACCGATTGTGAAGAGAGGGACCTGACGTTTGGGCAGGGCCTGGCCGCACCCAGYAGCTCCCCTCAGGTGAAGAACAAGACTCCTGTTCACGGAGCACCTGGAATCCATCCCCTCTCTTTCCGGCTCCACTACTTGATCCCATTCCGCTTTGGCTAGCTTGCTCCACTCCCAGGCCCTGCTTAGGGAAGTGTCATTCCCTCCTTGGGACTGGACCTCCTGTCGCCTGCCTGGGCCAGAGGTCAGTTGTTCCCTCGGTGATCACTTACCTAACACCTACTCTGCATCATGTTATGTGCTGGGAATTTCACGGTGGTGGACACCGTGTCTAGCACTCATGCTCTCGAGGAAACGATCACTAGAACAGGTGGCCTCAGCTCTGGCGAAGATTACAGACCAATATGAGTGGCTGAAGTCTGGGGAATAGGAGGAACTAAGAACTAAGGCCCAGAGAGGGTGTACGTCCTTTCGATATCACACAGAAAATTGTTCAGAGGATGTTGAAACACTCTCCTCTGCCACCTTACCTAACAGATGTCATCCTGTCTTTGTTGCAGAGATGGGGAGACCAGGGGTGGGATCAATTTGAAACCAGAGAGAGAAAACCAGACTGCCTGGGTTTGGGTCCAGGTGCTACCACTTGCTGGCGGAGACCTCCACCAGTCACTTGGCTGCTCAGAGGCTTCTGTGTCCTGCCGGGGCTGTTGTAATGTGCGGGCGCCCAGCGTGGGATCAGGAATTGCACACCATGGCCTCAGACCTCAAGTGCTGGGCCCCTCTCCCTCTTCAGGGCCCAAAGACATGCAGACTGGGGCACGGGCTACAGAATAAACTTTACTCTCTCTCAGGGCAGGAGTCCTAGTTAGGAGTCTCTTTGGGCAGGGTCACAGAGCCATGCACGCGCACTCGGTACAGGCAGGTGAAGCGAGGGTTCCCCCAGTTGCTTGAGATCTTCACCTTGACAGCACCAAAAGCTCGAGGTGGATGGTTCTGGAAAACAGAATCAGACATGGGGCAGCTCACCCTGGCAGAGTGGAAAGAGAGCCTCCCATATCTCAGGTGAGAGACTGAGACTCAGAGAGGGAAATGGTGTATCCCAAGGCCACACAGCAAGTCAGTACTTAGGGGCCAGGATAGAAGGTGCTGAGACCAGCAGAACCAACCTAGAGTGGCTGGGAAATGCCCCAGCGGCAGGCCCCTGGCAGCATGTTTGCCATAGGCCTGGGCAAGCCCATTTCCCCTTCTGAAGGATGGGAGTGGTACTGGCTGTGCCCCAGGATTGGAGCCAGGATTGTGGGGAACTGAGCTCTTGGGACGAGGGCGCTGAGCAGCACCCCACACTCTGCTCTCATGGAGGGCGAGGCCTGTGTTTATCCTGCTTCCTGCCCAGGGCACAAAGCTGGAGAGGCTCGGCCCTCAGGCTCTCACTGTTGGGTTTCAGTCTCTCAGGGAATTACAGGGGTCGGGGACACTGAGGCCAGGAAAGCAGGGAAATCCCAGGACCACACAGCATTTGTATCTGGGCCGGTGTTGGCTGGATTCCAAGCCTGGACACTCGCCCTGTCCGGCCCCCTGGTGATTCCAGAGGCGCCTGTCTGCTTCTGTTCCCAGCCCTCCCCTCCAGCCTCCATTCCCTCCCGGGCTGGGAACAGGTGCTGATGGGGGCGGGGCTCCCGGTGCGAGGGCTCTCCACTCTGGAGCCAGCAAACCCCACCTGCTGGGTTCTGGGGAACCCCGGGGGAAATGCAGCCAGCCATCCCTGGGGGGTCAGGCCAGCGGCCGGGTGGGTCCCCCCCGTCCCACTCCGGGCCCTGATGCCGCTCCCTGAGCCTCAGCTGCCCAGCCTGTCCAGTGGGTCAGTAGTGGCTGAGCACCTCACGGGGACGCAGGGGGATGACGTGTGGCCCCTGGGCGATCCCCATTGCAGGGCTTTGCTCAGGTACCTGGAGGTGGAACATCTGGATGGTGTTTTCTGGCTGGAACTGGAAGGCTCCCAGGAACACCTCCTCCCTGGGGGAGCTCTCCATGCCCTGGGGGCAGAACCCAGAGCTGTCAGACAGGGGCCTTGGGGGTGCTCCCCTCCAGCCTGGGCGTGCGCCCCTCCCAGACCGGAGCTTTCCAGGGCAGCACAGGTGACAGCAGGAGAGAGCCAGGGCCTGGGAGGCAGAGGCCGAGGGCCAGCTGCTGACCGTGCCACTGGCCCCAGGGCCTGGGGCGTTTCCCGACCCTTCTCTGGACCCCATTTGGATGAGCAGTTCCTGATAATTCTCTGGACCTTCTCAACAAAATGGGGGCACAGTGGTCTCTGAAGGCTATGGTGGCTCTGAAAAGCCGGTGGAAATCGAGGCGCTGGGACGTCTGCCCTCGGAGGCGAGCTCTGACCCCCCAGCGCCCCTGAGCCTCCCCAGCCCCCCGAGCCTCCAGATGTGCAGGCCCGGAGCACCCCCACCTCGCCAGGCTGCCCCTTCAGCTCGGCCTCGCCCCTCGCAGGGGCGCGCTCACGTAGATGACGAAGTCCTTGGGGGCCGTGTCCACGCTGCCGGACAGCGAGATGGATTTGGGGATGTGCTGCAGGGTGATGTTGAACAGGTAGACCTTCTGGGCCAGCCGGATGGTCACCTGGCCGCGGTCACCTGTGAAGGCCCAGCAGTTGCCAGGTGTCATGTTGGGCTAGAAGAGGCAGGTAACGGGGTTACGCTGAGTGGGCGGCAGGGGCTTCCTCACTCTACAACTAGGCACAGTTACTATCCCTGTTTGACAGATGTGGAAACCGGGCAGCAGAGCAGGGAAATGACTGGCCAGGACCATGCAGAGCTGGGAGTGCAGCCTGGGCAATTTGATCCTGGACCACTTGCTTTTAACCACTACCATCTTCTACCCTATGAAGAGGAAACAGGCTCAGAGAGGGAGAGCATTTCAGCTGAAATCACACAGCGAAGGCATTCATTCAGCAGCTTTTCAGTGTGGCCAGCTCTGAAGTGGAACAATAGATGCTGAGACAGGGATGGGACAGGGACTGTGGAGTCAGGGAAGGCCTCTTGAGGAGCTGGGACCAAGGGGGGTCAGGAGCAATCGGGGAAAGTGAGTTGAGGGACAGCCACAGCCCTGAGGGCCACAGGAACTAGCTGCAGGGAGCGGCTTAAGCTGGAGAGGGCAGAAGGCCTGAGGGCAGGAGCTCTCCAGCCTCCGGGGTCTGGTCTGTCACCTTGCTTCCTCCCTGGAAGGCCCCTAACACCTGCTCTGCCTGAGGAACCCTGCTCACCCGTGGCTACCTCCTCCAGGAGGCCCGCTGTCCCTGCAAGGCCATTGCCCCAGCCTGGTCTCAAGCACTGACATCTCTGGGCTCCTTGAGGGACCCATGGAAAAGTCACCATGGCCTTGGCACCACCCAAGGCTGGCCACGGGGACGGGATGCTCAGCCGGGGGTTGCTAATGGAGCTGTGCTTGCTCTGTGACCCAGCAAGCCCCTGCCCTCTCCGGGGGAGTCTCCTCATCCAGGGGCTGTGGCGCAGGGGGCCGAAGCTGGGTGGACTCTGGCTCTGCCCTTCACTAGAGGCCAGCTGTGGGCCTGCAGCGACGAGCTGGCTCTTTGAGCCTTGGTGGCCTTGAGGGTTCTCAGACCCTGAAGTCTCAAGGGCGGGGTGGGGGACTTTCCAGTGCCATAGTAAGCTGTCCCGTGCCCTGCTCCTACAGCAGCCCCCCCTGGAGCCCTGTTCTCTGTTCTTGCTGCCTGCCTACCCCGCCCCCACATCGAACCCCGCCCCCAACTTTAACCCCGCCCCGCCTCTAACCCCGCCCCACCTCTAACCCCACCCCACATATAACCCCGCCCCCAACTTTAACCCCGCCCCGCCTCTAGCCCCGCCCCAGGTCCCGCTGCCCTTGCTTCCACAGCCCAGCCTCTGCAGCCAGCCTCTATCCCAGGACCCTGCCTCTGACCAAACCCGTCCCTCGCCCCTTGTCGCCTGCCTCGAGAATCACGTCTGGGGGCTGCGCGTAGTTCCACAGCCGGATCCAGTTCCAGCAGGAGCGAGCCTTTTCGTAGTTGTAGGTGGCTGAGGTGTGCTCGAAGTCTATGCTGGCCCCTGTGCGGACGGACAGATGTCCGGGCGAGGATCAGATTCAGCCTGGGGAGGGCACTCGCCGTGTGCGGGAGCCCCTGGGAGGCCTCACCGCGCCCTCTCTGGACCTCAGTGCTCTCTTCTGGGCAGTGGGTCTGACAGTAACCATAAAGGCCGCCAAAGAGCGCCCACCCCAGGTCCACTGGCAGCGGTAATGAGCCAGGGCTTTCCCCACCAGCCTGGGGGAGACGTGCGCACTATGTCTGGCAGCCCTGTTGTGCTATTGTGGCTGGTTTTACACCCATTGTACAGAGTAGAGAGGGGAAGTTCTGGCTCTGAGAGGGTGAATGGAACCCAGAGTCGCTCAGGGGTCGGGGCAGACGCCCTGTGACCCCCATGTTTCACTGAGGTTAGGGTGCCCTCCCGGACCCCTCTTTTGGCCTCCCTCACCAGGAGACCCTTGCTCACTCATGCTAACCTCCTCCTCTGGGGCATCCGGAAGGCTTTTCCCTCCTCACAGGTCTGGACCCAGTGTCACTCTGCCCGCGGGGGTCCCCTCTATCCCTGCTCCCTGCTTCATTGCCCCTGAAGTCCTGAGTCCTGACTCACTGTTGGCCCACATTGGTTTATTTCTAGTCAGTGTGTCCCCACTCCTCAGGGATCACTTTGTCCTGTTGACCACTGTGTGGCAGCCCCAGGCTGAGGGAGGGGCAGGAGGGAGGGGCAGTGGAGGGGTCAGGCAGTGGAGAGCATCTGGATTCCTAGCCCCATCCCTGCTTCTGGCTCCATTAGACAAAATAAATTCTAGCAGGAAAACCAGCTGAGAACAGAGGTTAGCTCTGAGGAGGACTGTCCTCAAGCAGAGGGTGTATCACACCAGAACCAAAATCCAGGCATGGAAGGGTTTCTGCAGATGCTGAGGGGGGTGGAAGCGGGCAGGGGAGGCCGCTTACCTATAGACTTAAGGGCAAAGTCCGGCTTTTCAATGTAATCGCCTTGTATCATCTTCATTATTTTCTGGGTCATTCTTTGCTGAGAAGGCAGAAAACACAGGCTGTGCCTTGATGTGTCCTTACAGATCACAAGCCCCAGGGGTGTGTCCTCCACAGGTGACAGGTGCAACAGGAGACCCTCTTGGGGAACCTCTGATGGCCCAGCACAGGACTGCCCAGTCCCTGTACTGTGAAGGACGACCCAGTGACACAGAGCCCTGCCCCCTCCCCGAGGTTCACTTTGAGTGTCTGAGTTCACCATGACTGTGTCACAGAGGGGCCAAGAGTCTCACTGAGGGCAAGGACAGGGGCTCTGGAATCAGCAGGACCTGAGTGCTGTGGGGCCTTGGGCAATACTGTGCCTCTGAGACTTGAGACCCGTAAGACGGGGTGGTAATGGCATCTCCCTCTCAGAGAGGATTAGAGAGGTCTAGAAAGCCCCCGGTGTGTGCCAGGACTGGCCTCAGCCTCCTGCAGCAATCCTAGGAAGTGTGGACGGTCTTCCTCCCATTTTAAAGGTGAGAGCGTAGAGGCAAAAGGACTTTCACATGTGGCCCATTCTATTTTCCAACCATGGCTGCAACCAGGTCTCCCATTCCACACTCAATGTGATGCTGACTTCTTCCCTTGAGAGGCAGATAAGCTCCCTCCCCATTAGTCTGGGCTGGTGACTGTGGCAGAAGTGATGCTCAGTCCTAAAAGTCACTAGAACACTGACTGGTTTTTTAAAACCTCCACTCTTGGAAGCTGCCTCCATGTTGTGAGGAAGCCCAGGCCGCATAAGGAGGTGCTTTGGTCAACAGCCTAACTCGGTTCCTAGCTGATGGCCAGCACCACTCTCCAGACTCTTCATCAAAGCCCCCTGTGTTGAGGTTTCCCAGCTGAGGCCCCAGGTGTTGTGGAGCAGAAACCAACCATCCTTGACCTGTCCTGACCTGCAGACTCTCTGACCATGATACAGTGGTTGTTTTACACTACTAATTCTTGGGATGCCTTGGGATGCAGCCATAGTGACTAAACAAGAGCCAGGCTGTTATAGGGTAGTGGTTATAATTCTGTTTTGTTGATTTGGAAACTGATGCTCAGATAGGTTGATGGCCTGCCTTAGGTTGCACAGCTCCAAAAGATAAAGTATCCCTAACTCTTACTTTGTTTGCTGGGCAAATGCTCATTTATTTCTTCTCAAAACTGGGTCACCAACTCCAAGAAATTTCCCTGATGGTCCCTGCCCTTTTTGGGCTCCAAGTCTGGTTAGGGGTCCACAGGTCCTGGGACTGCCTTGAAGGGAGGGATGGAATTTAGTTTATCACTATCCTTGAACCCCAGAATGGGACCAGGCATACAGTAGGTGCTTAATGATTATGTATTGATTAGTGTATGCCTTGGGCTTCTACCTTTGTTCCAAGGAAACAAGCATTTAAGGAACACTTACCCTATGACAGACATTATTCTAAGGATTACAGGAATTACCATGTTTAATCCATATACAACCCATTTTGTAGATGAGGAAACTGAGGCACAGAGAAGCTAAGGGAGGAGAGTAGTCACACAACTTACAGATGGTAAACATGGGATTCAAATCCAAGTACTTGACTCGAGAGCCAGTGCTCATATCCACCATGCTGACTGTCTCTCTGAGTCGGTGGTCCCTCTTCTACAACCCCCCACCTGGCCCATCCCTGCCTCCCTCCCCCATGTAGAGAGGAAACTCCTGCAGGGCCCTCACTCCTGAGTGAGGAAGAGTGACACACTCTCTCCTATGATTCCTGAGAGGCTTGGGGGAGAGGAAGGAGCCCCGGAAACCTGGAATTTGGGGGGGGAGGGGTACTGGGGATTGAACCCAGGGCCTTGTGCTTGCAAGGCTGATGGCCAGCACCACTCTCCAGACCCTTCAAGCTGCAAGCGCTCTACCAACTGAGCTATAGCCCCAGCCAGAAACCTGGGACTTTGAAACAACAAAAAGCACAGTCAAGCTTCAGGCAGCTTTGCTCCATCTCACGACAAAACCCCCATCTGTAAATTCTTAGAAACTTGGCTTCTAGGCAAAGACGGTGAAAACTCACCAGATGTTTTGGTAGATAAGGCTGAAGCTACCTTATTAACTGTGGAACAAAGAGGCCCAGGAGGCGAGAAGAGAAAAGACAGTAGAGGACTTGTTCAGGAGTTGACATCCAAATAACAAAAGCTTAAAAGTGAGAATAGAGCCAGGCGGGGTGGCGCACACCTGTCATCTCAGCGCTCAGGAGGCTGAGGCAGGAGGATCGTGAGTTCAAAGCCAGCCTCAGCAACTTAGCCAGGCCCTGAGCAACTCAGTGAGACCCTGCCTCCAAATGAAAAATAAAAAAGGGCTGGGGGTGTGGCTCAGTGGTTGAGGACCCCTGGGTTCAATCCCCAAATTAAAAAAAAAAAAAAGAATAGAGCAAACAGGACCAGGGAGGAGGTCACCAGTTTGATCACATGATGAAAGAACATTTCTTAGGATGGAAGGTGGTGAGTTTGTGGACTGAAAGCTTCCTCAGGGTGTCTGGCCCATGGGCGTTTTTTCTTGAAGTTTTGGATGGAAGGTAAGACCTGGCCTGGTGTGGAGGGCCAGTGCCCACCACAGCAACTACTAGAAGAAGTCAGAGAGTTGAATGAATCATATTTCAAGGCCAATGTGAGCTAGGGACTAAAATTCCAGAGAGGGGAGAACCAGGCCCAGTTCTGCTGACAATTTTATTTTGACCCCTGGGGTCGTTTGACGATTCTGATCATGGACTAAGGATCAGGGCTTGGGCCAGACTCTGAACTACTCCTGGAGAAGGAGGAGCACTGAAGTTATAGTGGTCCCCCCTGGGCTAAGGGGATCAAATCAGGACAGAGGAAATGCACCCTCGGCCAGTCTCCCCCACAAAGTGTTCCCTGGACTCCAAGACTACAGGAGACCAGGAGCTGCTTCCAAGGCTCTGGAAGGCAGAATTAAACTTCCTGTCTTCTAAAGCTTAGGAAATAAAATGGTGTGTGTGGGGGGGGAGTGCACAAAATAAAACAAGTGAGAGACTAAAGCCGTAGGACCGTGGTTCTCTGGGGTTGGCATCAGCGTCCCCTGGCTTGATTCCCGTCCTCAGACTTCAGCTCCAACCGGTCTGGGTGGGGCCCATTCATTGGAATGTCTGACATTTCCCCAGGTAACGGTGCAGTGTGGTCCTCTGAGACCCACTGCCCTAGAAGGAGCAGTGAGTCAGCCCAGAGTACCCTAGCTGCCCTTCTCGAGGCACTGAACTAGTCTGGGCACCATTAGAAGGTGGGAATTCAAGTATGCCCCTGGAAGAGGAGGTGCCATTGGGCCAGAGATTTTATACTGATTCAGGGCTAGAAGGAAAAAGGAGAATTGAGAGCCCTCAGATCGATGGTCAGTCTTCCCCATTAAACACTTGCCAAATATTTGAAACTGCCTGGGCAGCTTTCCAAAGAGCTAACCTGAAAATATCTGAATAAATCTCATAAATTTGCAATCTGGGTCAGTCTGAACCAGCTCAGTGTGTGTCTAGAAAGAAGGGATCATATCCTCCTCCAAAGAAAAGGGAACTGTACTGGTAGAAGTCTTAAAGTACTTGAAGCAATAGAGTTCTTTTATATCCCATGACCAGAAAACACTAAAAATATAAAAATTTTCATACACAGAAATAGACACTAAGAGTCAAGATTGTATGGCTGATACCCAAGAGAAAAAAACAGAAAACAGAAGAAGGCCAAAGATAATCCAGATGTTGGAGTCAGCAGACAAAGATTTGAAAGATAACCATGACTGATGAGTTAAATAAAATAAAGGAAAAGATGTACAACATAAATGAAATGATGGAGAATTTTACCGTAGAGTTAAAGTCTATGAAAAAGAGTTAAATGTGCATTGTATAACTAAATAATGCAATATATGAAATAATAGTAGATTTCTCAGGCAGAATACAGAATTATTAGTGAAACTGAAGAAATTTAAAAAAAAACAATATCAAAACATGGAGAAAAAGAATTTTTTTTTTTTAGAAAGTGAATCAGGTGATAGCATAGGAATTACATAAAACACACTCTAAAGGTCTAGCATAGTAATCAGAATTCAAGAGAGGAGTGATGATGGGGAAGATCAATATTTTAAGAGAGAAAGGCTAAGCATTTTTTAAAACTATTGAAAAATATCAATATATAGATTTAAAAAATATAGGAAACCCCCAAGCTTGTTATATATAGACTATGAGGGGCTGGGATTGTGGCTCAGTGGTGAAGCACTTGTCTTGCACATGGGAGGCACTGGATCCTCAGTACCACATAAAAATAAAATAAAGGTATTGTGTCCATCTACAACTAAAAACATTTTTTGAAAAAGAATGTTAGACACAAAAAGAATATCCTATAAACTCCCAGGAGTAACAAATGGATTAAACCCAAAGGGTCAATAATCAGAGTGGCATAATAATTCTCAACAGCAACAATACAAATGAGAATACAGTGGTAGACCTCCTTCAGAGTTCTCAGGAGAAAATTTCCTTTCTAGAATTCTATACCCAGCCAAACTACCAATGAAGTGCAAGGGTAGAATAAAGGTGTTTTTAAATATGTAAGTTCTAAGTTCTTTTGCTCTTTTCTCAGTAGTTACTTGGGGATGTGCTCCATTAAAATGAGGGATAAAACCAAGAAAGGAGAAAACTCAGGATATAAAAAAGAGGGCATCAAAGAAGTTAGGTGTCTGGGGGCAGAATGAGTGGCATCTCACCTCATCTGACATGGCCTCCATTTCTTGGAGTCTGGCAATGAGCTGGTTCATGCTGCCTCGGAGGTCCTGGATTTCCCCAGTGTGATGTCGCACCTTCTCCTGGTACATCCTTAACAGGAAGGAGTGAAGCAAGAAGTGACTGCCTTGTAATGCTGCTATTGTGGCCTCAAGTTCTCTCTTTGCTAGTCAGCTCTCAAAGAACTAGCTTCATCATCTTCTCCTCTCTTGGGCCCATTCCTGGTTCACCCAGAGGTTAAACACTATCCATTCTCTTCTTTCTTCTTGGAATATGCTTAAGACCAGTTCATTCTTTCCAAATATTTCTGAGAATTTTGTTTGCAGTTAAGAATGCTGCTACCAGGTGGTGACTTGTTCATTAAAATCTCTTGACTACCATTTACTGATCACTGACTGTGGACCAGGAACTATGCAGATTTTCTTTAATACCCATAATTCCCCAGGGCAAGGTGGAGTACTCTGCCTCATCTCACACATGAGGTGTTAAAAGCTCAGTGAGAGGAAGTTTCTTTGGCATCAGGCCAGACAGGTAAAACTCATGAGAGCTAGGACTGAAGTCCGGATTTGTCTGTGAGCTCATGTTCCCAGCCAATATACCCCAGAGTCTTCCTATACCTGTATTTTTTTTTTTACATGATAGGACTTACCAGCAGATTCCTCTTACCTCAAACTCTGCAATGGACTATTTATGCTGTCATCCTGGAGGAGTGTTGAAGAAAGCAGAAATCCCCTTCAGTTGGCCTGAGAGAGCTCCCTCCATCCATTCTCCAAAACCACAAGTGCATCCACTCATCCACCTTCCCATGTAGGCTTCCATCCATTCACCCACCTACCATCTCTCCAAACTTGAAACTCCAGTTTACTCTTAGTTTTATCCATCCATTCTCATCCATCACCTTTCCTCACCCTTCAACCCTTCCGTCTCCCCAAGCTCCCTGTCCATCCCCCTCCCATCCGTCCACCCTACCCCATATATCCTCCTCTCCTCCATCCATCTCCCCACTTACCTATCTATCCCACCTGCCCTCCCGACTGCCCATTCTCCCTTTTATATGTTCCTCTGCTGTTTCTCCCAGCCCTACCTCCATTACGTCCAACGTCCGTCCATCCATCCATCCATCCATCCATCCATCCATCCATCCACCTTCCTATCCCTTCTCCCTCTATTCAGGCTCCCATCTGACCATCCAGTCATTCAACATGGAGCGTGGCAGCCCTTTTCCCTGCACTGAGCTGGAATTGCCCAGAGGTGTCACACCGCCCTCTCTCCTTCCTCCAAGTTGCTGCAGCAGAGCTGGGGAGACAGTCAGGAGTGTAGGACATTGTGGGAGAAAGGACGGGGCTGGGACCACCTCTGCCTGGTTGTTCCTGGAGGGAGCGACATGTTGTGAATCTTGAAGAAGGTGAAAGGGTTCATAAGGGAGAGGAGAAGAGATAGGCCTCTGGGGTTCCCGGTCCCTGCAGGTGTTGCGAGACGTCCTTGAACAGGGAGCTCCACTCACCTTTCCCCTCTTCTTTCCTCCCCAGAAACCACAAAGCAAAGGGGTATCGTTGTCTCATTTAAGCAGAAAAGAACAAACTGTTGAGTAGAAAGAGGGTCTTCCCCCTTCCCACTGCCTCGCTTTATTGGGAGCCTTGAGAAAGGAGAGATGAGTCATCTCGGGGGTGACAGGAGAGCCATCCTGGTGGAGGGACTATTGCATGTGGTCTTTGAAAGTCACAGGTAGCAGGAGAGATGGGTCCTAGATGGGTGGCGTGATCAAGGCAGAGATTTGGTTTGGAATAAAGCAGCAACTTGACAGGGTCCAGATTTGGTGAGAGCAAGAGGAGCTACGGAGGCACAATTAGCTGCCCGAGGGGAGACTAGTCAGCTGTGGGCTGGACGAGGGCGCACTCACCTGCCAGACTTCCATTTTTGATGGTAAATGCATAGAAAACATCCAGAATCCTGCGGGGCCATGAGAACAAGAATCAGCTGCTTAACATAGAAGGTCAAGAGCGAGCCTCTGCTCTGGAGTCAGAGCCCAGCCCTGCCACTCGCTAGCATTGCACAACTTTGGGAGAAATGACTTAATCCCTCTATGCCTCAGTTTCCTCCTCTGCCAAATGGCAATAACATAAAATCCACTTCATGTGCAAATGAAATCACATGCAATGTATGTTACATAAACTACCTGGTACCTGTCTCACACTCCCATCCCGACCTTGCTGGGGAGGATTAGTACAGAGAAGAAGGCAGGTGGTTTCTTCTGCATTTCATGATCTCCAGATCATTTCATGATCTGCATTTCATGAGGCTGAAACCTCACCATTTCAGCAGTTGTTTAAAAGCCTTTAAAACCTATTTGTTATTATTGACAAAATACTTTTTTTTTTTTGGAGCGAGGGATCAAATGCAGGGGTGCTTAACCACTGAGCCATATCCCCAGTCCTTTTGACATTTTTTAAAATTTTGAGACAGGACCTCGCTAAGCTGCTGGGGTTGGTTTTGAACTTGTGATTTCTCTGACTCTGCCTCCCAAGAGGCAGGGATTCGAGGTGTGGACCACCACACCCAGCTTGATACACCACTTAACAAACTAGGAACGGAAGAGAACCTCCTCAGTGTAACAGAAACCCACAGCTAACATCCTATCGGTGGCGCTGGATGGAAGCTTTCCCACTAAAATCGAGACATAAAGCCCTCACAGTTGCGGTCAACTGATTTTCACAAGGGCGTCGAGACATTCAGTAAGACTAAAATAGTCTTCTCAATAAATGGTTCTGGAACAACCATGTATCCATATTCAGAAGCATGACACTTTGTGGTTTCCAGAGCTCTTCTTGGCTTTCAAAAATTTTTCTTGGACATCATTTCACTGAACCCTCATTAGACAGGTGGGTACGCTGAGTCGTGTGCAGGGGACACGTGTGGCCAGGTGTCGCAGAACAGTGCTAGACCCCTGCTCTCCTCTCCCAGCGGGGGCCAGAGCCTGGGGACACCACCTGCCCGGGGTCTGCAGACCCACCGAAAACGCAGAGGACCAGCACGCCCGTCTTCTCCATGAGCTTCTGGAAGAACAGCCTGCACCTGGAGGCCAGGGGAGCCAGAGTCAAGGGGCCTCCTCCTCGGCCCTGGCCACCAGCGCGGTTTGCCCCCCTCCCTCCCTGATGAACGTGGCCTCCGCTGGGACCTCCAGGGTCCCCCACACTCCCCGCCCAGCGCTGGTTGTGTCTGTCCTTGTCTCCAGGCTGGAGCTCACGAGGGGTGGGCCGAGGCTGGGACCAGGACAGGCATCAGACTTCAAATGAATGGAGGAGGCCGAGCGTCAAGCCCAGGACCCAGCCCTCTGTCCCCAAGCTGGGTGCCAACGAGGGGAGCTTAGAAAAGAAGGGGCAGGGGTCCAGGGGCAGCCGCTGCGGAGGGAGGCTGAGGAGCCCTGGGGGGCCCTGGGGCCAGCTTGGGGTCCCTGGTCTACACTGCTACCAGAGGGACGCCTAAGCCAAAGACGGGCTGCCTGCCCGCCCGGCCCTGCCGCTCACCGGCAGGCGTTGAAGAGGACCTGCTGGGCCTGGGTCCTCAGGAAGTAGGCCAGGCAGGCGATCCAGGCTGCAGGGAGACGACGGAGCGTGAGTCCCTGGGCCTCATCCCTGTCCCACGGCGGGTCCTGGGGCTGTGGGGGCACCTTGGAGCTGGGCGGCCTTCTTCTTATTCATTTTTTCTGTGGTGCTGAGGCTCGAGCCCAGGGCTCACGCATGGGGGGCAAGGCCCCTGGCTGAGCCCAGCCCCAGCCCTGGGAGGCCCCCTGGACTCGCTGGTCAAGCCCAGGACAGGCCCTGGCCTGGCCGATGGGACGTGCCAGGCTGGTGCCCGCTGGGTCCTGCAGGTGAGCGCTGCTGAGGCCCTAGGGGCTGGAATGTGCTGATGCCCAGGTCCAGAACCTGGGAGCCTGGGACCGGAGGGGCCTTGCTGGGTTCCTCTGGGGAAGCTCAGCGTGGGGCCGGCAGAAACAGGGGTGCAAAAGGGTGGGGGGGAGAATGGAGGAGGGAATGGCCGCTGGACTTGGGAAATGAGTGGACTGGAAGATGAGAGAGGCTGTCGGCTGGAGGGGGTGACTCCGCGGGAGCCGGGCCGGGCTGGGGCCCAGCAGAGGAGGGCTGGCGGGCAGCCCTTCACCGGCCAGTGTCCATCCATCAGGGGGTCCTGGCTGGGATCACCCCGGTGGAGCTTAACCTGCGGCTCCTGCAAACTCAGGGCCTCCCCCTCCCCAGCTTAGCGGGGCCCGACCCTCCCGGGCCCAGGGGGTGGCCGAGGGGACTCTGCAGACCATACGCACACAGATATCCCAGCAGGAACTGAGTCAGGCTGATGGCCGGGGCATTGATGCGGGCGGGCAACGGGAAGCTGTCATCTGCAGGGAGCGATGGGCGGTCAGGTCACTGCCTTTGAGACGTGGACTGGTGGAGACCTGGGGGGCACTCAGGGCTCGGAGTGAGCGTCCCTGCCCCTCTGCCTCCACCTCTTGCTGTGTGACCGTGGATTTCCTGCTAAACATCTCTGAGCCTCAGCCCCTCAACGGCCCCCTCCCGCTCCCCTCTCTGCTCACTCCTGCTGGGTGAGGGGTCCATCGCCATCCTGCTGGTGTTCCGGGCTCGCGGGTTGCATCTGGGGACGACAAGGTTCACAGTCGCGGTTTACAACACAAGCCGGTGACGTCACTGCATCCCAGATTGAGAAACTGAGTGACAGAGAAGTTTGCCAAGACTACCAGGCTGGGAACAGGGACAGATCAGGGTCTGGCTGACCCCCAATCCAGGTGTCTTTTAAGGCAAGGACTGTGGTTGGTGTGGCCATTGCAGGGGACCATCACCCCCAAGCCACCCACTCCTCTTGGTGGCAGAAGCCTGATTTGGGTAAAGGTTTCCTCATCGCTGAGTTGAGACCCACAGGGAGCAGTGACCGCTCTCCTTCCCCCTAAGTAGTCATGTTTCTGCCCCCCACGGAGGGCTGTGGTGGCCACGCTGTGACGGAGAGAGATGACTAAAAGGAAGAGCCATGTGACAGCCGGAACCTGGTCTCCGGAGGCAGCACCACTGCAGAATCCAGGGACTCTGGAGCCACAGTCAGGAGCCCTTGGTAGGTGAGATGAAAACCTTTCATTTCCTCAGGCAGTGGTCCCCCAACATTCTCTCATTGTCCCCCCTTTGAGTTTATATTTATTTCTTGAGAAATTACAAATACACCTGCTACAGCTTGGATGTTGAATGTCCCCCAAAGGCTCCTGTGTTAAAGGTTTGGGTCCCCAAATGGCCCTAGGGGAAGGCAACGTGGACCTTTAGGAGGTGGGGCCTCATGGGAGGTCCTTAGGTTGTTGGGGGCGTGTCCTTGGAGAGAACTGTGGGACCCCAGTCTTCCCTTCTTTCCTTCCTGGCTTCTTAGGTGGGTGATTTTCTTCCCCCATGTACTCTCACCATGATGCAGTGCCACCCCAAACAGGGGGGCCACTTGATCATGGACCAGAACCTCCAAAACCATGAAATATACCTTTTCTCTTGATAACTTAATTATCTCAGGCATTTTATTATAGTGGTAGAAAGCTCACATAATTCCCAATTATGCCAACATACACTTACCCTTCCTCAATGTACAGATTCATTTATACATTCCTGGGGAATATATAGCACAGCGGGGTGACTAGCTTCACAACTTACTGTAGACCTTAAAATAACTAGAAGAGAGGAGTTTGAAACTTCCCATACAAAGAAATGCTCATTACCCTGATCTGATCATCATAGAGGATAGCATGTACCAACTTTTCACTTTGCACCCATAGACACAATTATTATGTGTTAATTAAATCAAGGAGGATGAGCTGAAAATACTCATGCAACATTAACGATTTCTTCCTTCACCTCCATGGCTTTTTTGTAAACCCTGGTGGGATACATATACACCCTGTTCTGGGACCCAGAAGTGGGTATCCTTTTGAATGTTGGAATTCCTGTCACCTGCAGCTAGAGGCCTCCTGGCAGATAGAGGGCAGAGATACGTGTTTCCTGGTTCAGTGTCTGCCTCCCTCACAGACTAGCTCCATGATAGCAGGGAGCACGTGGGGCTGGTTCAACATGGTGCCCCCGTCCTCTGCACGGTGCCTGGCAAAGAGTAGGTGCTCAATAAACACATCCTGAAAGATGGCCACCTCCTTGCCAAGAGACTGGGAGAGCCACTGTCAACCTCTCATCAACTGTAAAGCACAGCCGGTTATGCCAGCTCCCCTCCCAGCAGGGGTGGAGGGGCTGCCTTTTGTCAGTTGTTAAAGGCTGAGCCAAGGGAGGGGCTGTTGTCCTCACCTCCTGGGCCTAACATTGGGGATCCCATCTTCGCATAGGGAACCTGGGTCCCCAGTGTTCCTTGACCGTGGCATCGATTCCCTTCTGTAGGGCTAATGGATGGTGGTGGGGATCTCTGGGAGTCAATGAGGAGGAACTAGCTGCTGCCACCACCTCAGAGTGTCCTCTGGAAGGTGCCATGTGGAATTTGCCAGGGTCAGGGAGAACTGTTGGCTCTATGACCTCACAGAGCAGGTGGGCAGGGAGGACACCCAGTCTCCAGCTTGGCCCCAGAACCTCCCCTCAGAAGAAGCCATTGTGACAATTTTCCATGTTTAAGATGGAGGAAATTGAAGGCATAAGGCAGTAAGGGCCGCTGGGTGCTGAAGGGCACATCTGTAACTTAGTGACTCAGGAGGCTGAGGCAGGAGGATGGCGAGTTTGAGGCCAGCCTGGGCAACTAAGTGAGACATTGTCTTAAAATAAAAATGAAAAAGGGTGGGGATATAGCTCAGTGGTAAATCTTTCCTGGGTTCAATCTCGAGTACCAAAAAGAACAGGGAAAAACAAAACAAAACAAAAACAAAAACATCCAGGGCCATGCTTGGTCTCGGGGTTGCATAGGGATGAGTTGAGTCTCCAAAAACTGGACCAGGTTTTCCTTGTTCCCAAACTCCTACCTGCCCCAAATTTTCTGATTTACCATTTTAGGTTGTACATGAATGTTTTCCATACTGTTGAGCTTCTCACCAGTGGACATTTTGCATCACACAAAATACTATTATGTGGGTTATTTATTTAATGAAGGTCTACTATTTACTGGAAAAGATAGAAGGAAATGTCTGGCTGCATGTTTTTCTGTTAACTCTGTAGAGAAGCTGACCATTTGAGCCAACTTTTTCTTCCAATAGACGCAGAGTCTCTGGTTTAATTCCTAGGTCCTTGATCCATTTTGAGTTAAGTTTTGTGCATGGTGAGAGATAGGGGGTTTAATTTCATTTTGCTGCATATGGATTTCCAGTTTTCCTAGCATCATTTGTTGAAGAGGCTATCTTTTCTCCAATATACGTTCTTGGCGCCTTTGTCTAATGTAAGATAACTGTAATTAGGTGGGTTAGTCTCTATGTCCTCTATTCTGTCCCATTGGTCTACCAGTCTATTTTGGTGCCAATACAATGCTGTTTTTGTTACTATTGCTCTGTATATAGTTTAAGGTCTGGTATAGTGATGCCACTTGCTTCACCCTTCTTGCTAAGCATTGCTTTAGCTACTCTGGGTCTCTCATTTTTTCCAGATGAATTTCATGACTGCCTTTTCTATTTCCATGAGGAATGTCATTGGGATTTTGATTGAAATTCCATTAACTCTGTATAGTGCTTTTGGTAGTGTGGTCATTTTGACAATATTAATTCTGCCTATCCAAGAACAAGGGAGATCTTTCCGTCTTCTAAGGTCTTCTCTATTTTCTTTAACATTCTGTAATTTTCATTGTAGAGGTCTTTCACCTCTTTTGTTAAGTTGATTCCCAAGTATTTTTATTTTTTGAGGATATTGTAAATGGGATAGTTTTCCTAGCTTCTCTTTCAGAGGATTTGTTATTAATGTACAGAAATGCCTTTGATTTATGGGTGTTGATTTTATATCCTGCTACTTGGCTGAATTCATTTATTAGTTCTAAGAGATTTCTGGTGGAATGTTTTGGGTCTTCTAGGTATAGAATCATATCGTGGGCTAGTAATGATAGTTTGAGTTCTTCTTTTCCTATTCGTATCCCTTTAATTTCTTTCGATCTCTCTAATTGCTCTGGCTAGAGCCTCAACTTCCTTAACAAGACTCCTATAGTGCAAGAAATAAAATCAAGAATCAAGAAATGGGATGGATTCAAACTAAAAAGTTTCTCAGCAAAAGAAACAATCAGTGAAGTGAACAGGGAGCCTACAGAATGGGAGAAAATTTTTACCACACACACATCAGATAGAGCACTAATCTCTAGGGTATATAAAGAACTCAAAAATCTTAACACCAAAAATACAAATAACCCAATCAATAAATGGGCTAAGAAACTGAACAGACACTTCTCAGAAGATGATATACAATCAACAAATATATGAAAAAAATGTTCAACATCTCTAGCAATTAGGGAAATGTGAATCAAAACTACTCTAAGATTTTATCTCATTCCAATCAGAATGGCAGCTATAAAGAATATAAACAACAATAAGTGTTGGTGAGGATGTGGGGAGAAAGGCACACTCATACATTGCAGGTGGGACTGCAAATTGGTGCAGCCAATATGGAAAACAGTTTGGAGATTCCTTGGGAATTTTGAATGTAACCACCATTTGACTCAGCTGTCCCACTCTTTGGTTTATATCTAAAGGACTTAAAAACAGCATACTACAGGGACACAGCCACATCAATGTTTATAGCAGCACAATTCACAATAGCAAAATTGTGGAATCAACCTCGATGCCCTTTAGCAGATGACTGGATAAAGAAAATGTGGTATATATACACAATGGAATATTATTCAGCATTAAAAGAGAATAAAATTGTGGCATTTGCAGGTAAATGGATGGCGTTGGAGAATACTATGCTAAGTGAAGTAAGCCCATCCCAGAAAACCAAATGCCAAATGTTTTCTCTGATATGAGGACACTGATCCATAACAGGGATGCGGGGGGAGTGTGGGATGAATAGCGGAACTTTAGATAGGGCAAAAGAGAGGGAGGGGAAGGGGAGGCAGGGGGATAAGAAAAACATCATTATCCTAAGTACATGTAATGAAGACACAATGGTGAGACTCTACTTTGTATACAACCAGAGACATGAAAAATCGTGCTCTATATGTGTAATATGAATTGAAATGCATTTTGCTGTCAAATGGTCAGGTTCTCCTTTTTTTTTTTTAATTCTATATAGAATTTTTAAAAAAGGAGAACCTGACCATTTGAATTGACACTAAAAGTGAACTCTCTTTTGCCCCCTGGTGGCAGGTACTAAAAATTGCAGGTTAAGTACCTGTGGGAAGTGGAATGAGGGTCCCCTAAGGAGGTTCCCGTGCTAAAATCTAAACATAAGAATATGTTACGTTACTTGGCAAAAGGGAGTTAAAGCTAGCAGACAGAATTAAGGTTCCAATTCAGATGACCTTGAGGAGAGGAGACTATCTTAGATTATCCAGGTGGGTCCAGTGCAGTTATAAATGGAAGAAGGAAGAGGGAGACAGAGATGCTCTCTGCTCAACGTTGCTGGCTTTAGAGATGGAGAAAGAAGCCAGGGACTGAGGAACAAGGACAGCCTCTAGATGCTGGAAAAAGTCAGGAAACCGTTCCTTCCTGAAATCTCCTGCTCTACATCCTTGATTCTAACCCAGTGAGACTCACTTTGGACTTTTAATGCTTAGAACCATAAGATGATGAATTTGCATGTGCAGTCACTAAGTGTGAGGCAATTTGTTATGGCAGCAGTAGGTGGCTAACGTGAGAACATCCAGTGAAGGGGAAACTGAAATTCTGTCACTCGTTGTCACAAGGGCCTTTGAATTAATTATACATTCATTCAGTAAATTTGTGTCTAGGCACCGGATACAGGGCTGAGCAACACCAACTCCTGTCCCCGGGCTTGAAGGGACATCTTGCAGGGAACAGGTGCTTAGCAAACGGCCTGCCAAGTGCTATAGGGAGATTGCTGGGCTCAGGGGTGAACCGGTGAGAATCCCTCCTTCGTGTCACCTGGATGTTCCTAAATGTTGTCCCCTGTGCTAGAAGTGTTGAGGAAGAGGAAGCGTTCATGTCAAATGCAAACACCAAGATGCCTTCGGTCAATATTTGCGCTTCTGTTCATGGAGTTTGCTCTGCTGAGGACTCGGGAGGCCTAGTGTCTGTGGCATCTGTGGACAAACCAAGGCCAGGAGTGGGATGGGAGGGGCTCAGAGCAGCCCCTTCTCGTTCCTTTTGGCCTCTAGAATTGGGGTTATGGAGCAAGGACGGGAGACAGGGCTAGTCCAGGGGAGATCTGGGTCCCCAAGGGAGGGCTTGATAGTGTCCAGGTCCCTGTCAGCCCTGTGGGCACTAATGGGAACCCAGGACAGGGTCGGCCTGGGCTTGGGGCTTGGTACTTGGGCTGGCGAGGACTCAGTGGGGGCCACAGAGCATTCTGGAATGGTGGAAGCCCTCTAGGCCTTGTCCCTCTGTCCCAGTTGAGTCATGCAGAGGAATGGAAAGACCCTCCTTGAAGCCAGACGTCACCTCCTGTGCACATGTGTACATGCACACACTCACACTCACACACACACCCCAGGACCAGGAAGCAGTCCACTACACACACTGGCGTCTAACACACACAGACCCACAAACACTCAGTAGACCAAGTCACACGTGCCTGTTTGCCCACCACCTCACATCTGCACTCTTATAGTTTTGTGTAAATTGGCACGTGACATCCTAAACCAAGGTGTCAATGTGCCCTGTCACGTATACACCCACACAGAAACCAGAAATGACAACCTAATGCATATGTGAATGTGCAACTCTGCACACACCACCACACTCACGGACACACACATAGTGCTCCCTCACATGCACAGACGTGGACATGCCAGCTTCAGGGGCACACACGGTCCTCTGGGTCCTGCGTGGCCGCGGTGGACTGTGGAGTTCGCAGTGGAGAGAGGGGACGGGTTAGACCCACTGCACATGGGGTGTGCGAGTTTGGAGGGGGACTGGGTGTTAAGGTTGGGGACGGGTCATCCACACGTTGTCTTCTGTTCGCTTTGAGTGAAGGCTCAGTGTGTGACCAGCATCAGACCTCAGTCAGTGACAAGGGTCAGGTCTCAGTGTTTACCCAGAGACAAAGCTCAGGGTGTGGCCAGGATCAGGGGACTGGGGCTCAGGTAGCCTCCTTCTCCTCTGAAAGGGTCATGTTTTGGGGACAGCGTGGGGACACCAAGCTTGAGGGGTCATTGTGGCCGTCCCCCTGTGTTTGGGCACTCCCTTCTTCCTGGGCCTTGCCTGGGCCTGCCTGGGCTGATGAGGGACCACCCCTGGGGACAGCCACTCTTCCGGAGGCTCCTGGCCCTGGAGACCAGCGCTGT